TCCTGCTCAGTTCCTGTTTGTACTAGCTTGGCCTCTCCTACCATGAACACATTTCCTTAAACGTCCGACACATTTCACGGCATGCCAAGAACTGGCACACACCTTCTCTTCTGTTCTGCAAAGAGGTGCAGAGCTTTTCTCTGTGCCTTTTCCCCATTGATAGGGGACTGATCCCCACTCCCCCACAAGGCATAACTTGACCTTTTATGGTTCTGTCTCTTTTTCTGCTCTTTTCAGTATGGTAGCTATTTTGCATTATGCCATGCTCCCATGGCAGCCATTTTGTAACTGGTGGTGTTATGTACTGAGTTGAATAGGATCCAAAAGGCATCAGTCTGATTGGTCCTAGAACAATGGGATTCAAAAGGCAGCAGTCTGATTGGTCCTAGAACAATAGAGTCCAGAATGCAGTAGTCTGATTGGTCCACAGGAGCCACCCAATCCAGCTCCTGGTGGAAGTGAATCCGCAACCTGATTGGCCTACAGGTGAATCCCGGAATTAGCCAATCACGTGAGGCCCATTGTGTAAATAATGTATATAAAGCAGACATTCTGGGGGAACTTCCATTCTTCCTCACCACTATGAGCTGAATAAAGAGCATGAAATCCACTCTTGACTCCGAGTATATTTCAGGTACCCTTGCTACTTTCTCAACATTATTTCATTTATTTATTTATCATCATCATCATTATCATCATCATCATCATCATTATTTGAATTTCTATGCCACCCTTCATCCGAACATCACAGGGCGATTTAGAATATTAAAACACAAAAATACATAACAAACAAAAACAAGAACCCCACCCCACCCCTCTCTCTCTCTTACTTTAAAAGGCCATATATTGCTCAGTTAGTCAAAGGCCCGGGAGAAGAGGAATGTTTTTGCCTGGTGCCTAAAGATATGTAACAAATGTGCCAAGTGAGCCTCCCTGAGGAGAGCATTGCACAAATGTTTAGGGATGTTTTTAATGTTTTAATGTTTCTGGGAGCCACCCAGAGTGGGCGGGGTGTAAATAATAATAATAATAATAATAATAATAATAATAATAATAATAGGGAGCCACCACAGAAAAGGCCCATTCACATGTTGCCATCATCCAGACCTCTCATGAAGGAGCTACAAGAAGAAGGACCTCTGATGATCATTACAGGGACCCCATTGTTTCATATGGGGAGAGGCAGTCCTTCCAAATCAGCCCACTAGTCCCAAAAGATTGGTATCCCCTGGCTTATGTAAAAGGACATTTGAGTTAGAAGACATATTGTACCTTTGGTGTGTGTGTGTGTGTGTGTGTGTGTGTGTGTGTGTGTATCTCAGCACCTGTATATTGTCCTCAAAGGGAGAATGGCTTAGGACTTATTTTAAGCATCTCAGCAGTGTGCAAATCAGAGACGGCAGAAAAGAAGCAGGTGCTTGGGGGCAAGGAAGCTTCTCAACAGTCTGCCAACATAACAGAGCCAGAGGCTACCTCAGACTCATCAGCATAACTAGCTGACATCTTATCTGCCTCCTGTGACAAGCCAACTATGCCCCATTTCATGCTGTGACTGCCTAAAAGAGCGCAACAGGAAAGTTGCCCAACACGGAGCTCACTAGTCAGACAGAAAATCAGTCTAATAAGAAACAGCCTCCATTAGGAGCAGCTAACTCTGTGTAATAGGCTCCTGGGTGAGGAGAGGAAATGGATGAAACCTCCAGCTGCTGTAATTTACTGTCGCTTCATTGCCTTTGATAAGCAGGCACTGATCAGCACATGGGATGAAGCCCAGCCGATAACAGAATGGCGCCATCTCTTGCTCTGCTTTTGCACATGTATTATAGCTCAACGATGTATGGAAATTGTGTCAAAGATCTAGCTTGTTCAGGCACTCTTTTGACACTTCCAAACTTGACTGCAATCTGAGATTTATATCTAGAAACTAGACCCGGCTAAACACCCTCAACCTTGTCCTTGTTCCTGCAGCCGCTTGAGGCCATAGGATATCACTGCTGCAAGCTAGTCCTGCCAAGTCTCTCTTCAGTGGTCCTACCATGAGAACAGATGGGGAACTGGACCTGCCCTGTGGGATGAAGTCCTACTTCTCCTAGCCTTCCATGGGCCAACATTGACAGGTGGGCATCATCCGATACCTGACAAAGTTTGAAAGAGATTGCTGTAACCAATGATCAGCAGTTATAGGGAGTCCCTTTGACAATCTGTTTGGAGGAAGCACTGGGAATTAAAACTGCTTTCTCCAGCTGTAGAGGGGGAGGAACAGCTTCTTCCAAAGAGAGAAACTGACACTCTCTCGCTCTCTAAGACACATGGACATTCTAGAGCATCTGTGTCACGAACTTTCCTCCTCGTCCTTCTTATTATTAATCTTATTATTATTTATACCCTGCTTATCTGGCTGGGTTTCCTCAGCCACTCTGGGAAGCTTACAGCACATACCTGCCCCACCTCTGATGTCAGAAGTAGGACAGGTGAGCATGGTTTGTGAGAAATGGCCTCACAGACCAAACTGGGACCCGTGTGGGCCAGAGGCATGAAGGTCCTGGGAAGGGGGAACCTGGAGCACTGAAAAGGTGTTGGACGACAGAGTTCTGGACACCACAAGGCTATCCTGCTGCCCTTGAGTGCAGTGGAAGGTAAAAAGAAGAAGAAGAATACTTCTTTTCTAATTTATACCCCGCCCATCTGGACATGTGAAGACAACTGAAGGCAGCCCTGTATAGGGAAGGTTTTTATGCTTTATGTTTCGTTATGTTTTTATATATGTTGGGAGCCACCCAGAGTGGCTGGGGCATAAATAATTATATTATTATTATTATTATTATTATTATTATTATTATTATTATTACAGAATAGGACGTCCCTATTTTTACTGGAGAAATGTTGGCGGGCATGAGACAAATAAGGTGAAGCGAGACAAGTCAAAGGAAGCCAGTGAGCCTGTTTGATGAGATGAGTTTTTCAGACTGAGGAGCTGACCTGGTGTGAGCATTTTATAAGCCCTGTGTTAGAAGGTGCTCTTGATCAACAACCAACCTGCCTGGTTTTTCTGAAGAGTCGGAAGTGCTTGTGGTGCAAGAGTTAAGGCAAAGAAGTGTGGCTGTGTGCACATAGCCCACAGCTGATTGGAGAGGCCCTGCGCAGTTCAGTGTTTTGAAAAATCATTAAGGAATAGGTCTTATGATTAATGTCCTTGCTACTTCCACATACTTTTCTTTCAAAAAAAACAACAACACATCCAAACAATGCGAAAACTGCTGCCCGGCATACTGGGTGGAAAACAAAGTATAAGTGCTTATTACAAATCTTCAACCTCCTGAAAACAGTGTTCCAGCAAGTACTAATTTCTCTGCTTCAGCAAAGGATTAAATGTCACCATAAATTCTTTCCCCTCTACCTGAAAGGATATGGCTGAAGCTTAGTTAGCTAAAACAGGCCAGCTAAAGGCATAACCAAGATGAGTCTAACCTTGTCTGCAGTGCCCAAGGATACGTCTGGAAAACTGCCGTAACATACAATAACCGGAGTCTCTGCTAAATACAACTTGTGCAGGATAAAAGACACCTACAAGAATGCTGAATTTTGGCTATTTTGTATTCTATGTTGATCAGTTCCTTTAGCTGGCTGACTGAATCCAGTAACATTTTAATTTGTACTCTACAGATTCCTCTGGTTCAAGCTGGAACTGGGTTTGACCAATCAAGTTTTTTAATCCACCAAAATTGAATGGTATCTTAGAATTTTTCCCCTCATGCCCATTCCTGAATTTGGTATCCCTCTGTACTTTTTTCAGTGCTTCCATTGAGAGCATGATACTGTATCAAATTGCTTTCTTACATCACACCCAATCCACTGTCATCCCTTAAAATTTGCCCCACCAGAGTCGTACTACAGCAACTTCTGAAGGGCTAAAGGTCATCAATCAATATGCCTTAAGTGGTCATATTGATGCTAATCACTAACAAATGTAAGTGATTACTCACACAAAATATTTAATTTACATTGTGTTGTGCAGTGGTTCTCAGCTTGCATATTTATAAACTTGTTGCTCATCACTTGAGAAGAAATGGTTTTTCTTCACTCAGAGATAATCTTCTTGTTGGTGGGAGGGGAGAAAGGCATGTCTTAAGGAACTGGTGCATGTAGTTAGTTCATGTTAGGAGACTTTGATGAGTTCTATTTTTGGCATCACTGGTATACATAATCATCCGAAACTAAATAAGAACATATTGGAACATATTGGTTAGATCTATAGCAGCCAATGCCTTGGGGCCTTGAGGGCTTCGGTTCCCACAATAAAACATTTGAGGGAGCCAGCCCCCCCCCCCCAAGTTGATGGGCATTCCAATTCAAATGGTGGGTGGGCACTGCATCATGTGATCGCTTATATGGGGTGGAGCTTACCTGGGCCCCCACAATATTTTATTCAAGTTGGCACTCCTGGTTAGATCCAAAATACGTCTAGTCTTTCTGAAACTAGACTGGAACTGAGCAGCTGCAAAGCTATTCTCTCCTGGCCACATATAAACTATTATAGTTTCAGAGTAGCACATGAAAGCGTACGATTTCAGGCCCTTATGTTACAGCCACAAAACACATGAACAATCCCACAGAAATAAACACCTGCAAGTGGTAAAACATTCCCTGTATTGTGTTCAGCACAGCTACTTTGGTAATGAATACATAAAAAAGAGTTTTTACCTCATTTTGTAGGGGGGGGGATCAAACCCAATTTGGAAATATAATTATCCTAGGAAGCTACCAAATGGCATAGGTGTCTCCTGATACTAGTTCCTAACTGCTTGCTGACCACACCATAAAGTGTAAAATTAAAGTGGCTATGGAGTGACTATGATTAAGCATAATTTGTTTTCTTCATTGTTAAGTCCATTGTCTGCATGCTACCAGCTGTGAAATTGTGCAATAAGCCATAATTAAACAGTGAAAGAGAGTAAACAGAACTAGTTAAGTGTAATTTGGTGCAGAGAGAAACACAAGGTGACTTTTAAAGTTTTTTTTTATTAGCACAAAGCAGGAGAGGAAACAAACAAACAACAACTGTGAAACTTATGGTTTAAATGAGTCCACGGTGATTGTAAAATACCACTAAAGATCAGCTTGCACTACAAAACAGCAATACTACTAAGAATAACTCAGAAGGTCATTTTTCAGCTTGTCTGGTTTATCTGAGGCTGCAGTCCTCAATGTGTTTACATTTCTGCAGCCCATTTCAGTTCCGTTGGGGGTTTTACAAAAGCACCGAGGGTCACAGCCCAGATTGAGGAGTAAAGTTCGGTTCCCAAATTATATATAACTAATAAAAGTCTGATCTTCCCATTGCCGTAAGCAGAGTTCCATCCTACAGATATAGCACCAATTTGCATATAAAGTTAATAACAGTTGCCCCTGCAATGGCTTTTTGTTGCCAGCCACATAACAGCTTCTATTCATAATGATGTAATTGCATCTGGGGATGGTACGGGTAGAGAACCGAGACTGTGATGCCCATCTCAAAAAGCTTAACTCTTCCTTGGACATTGCCAGTTACCTACTGCAGAAACACTATGGGGGGGGGGGGGGAACGACCTACAGCTTCTCTCTAGCCTTTTGCCTGTCAAACACACCCCTTACAAATCTACTTCCTGCTGCCCTTATCATGCGTGGAAGATCAATGAGTTCCTTCTGGTGCTATTAGCCTTGTTTTGCCACCTGTGCCAGGTTTGACGTCGGGCAGCTCTTCGCCATGCTTGTACACACTGACGGTGACATCCACCATCTCGCCACCATACTTGTTCTTGACATTGATACTGTACTTTCCTGAGTCTTCTGATGCCACCCCCTTGATGACCAGGCTGGCATACTTTCCTTGCTCCAGTTTGACTACATAGTGATCGTTCAGTTCAAGCTCCTTGTCGTTCTTAAACCAGACTATCTCAGGGTCGGGGTTACCAAACACAGTGCAGGTCAGATTCAGGGTCTAAAACAAACAGGGAGGGAGCAGGGAAAGAATGTGAAATCCAGACTTTGGCATTGGCTTGCTAACTTAGATTTCTTGATCTCATAGCCTGATTGTCGCAAAACCTCACAAATCTCTGCCACTGTGACAGTTTTCCAGCATACACTGGCATTATCCCAGCTCAGCACAAGACACAATGGGTTGTAACCAGTGCTTTTTTCCTAAAAAAAATGTTTAGAGGTACTCTCATTTTCCTACTCATATTGAAGTACTGCCCCTCAATGAGGCCAAACTTAGATTCACAAAATGTTTGGGGTATGTGTACCCCCTGCGTAGCCCCAGGGGTAAAAAGCAATGGTTGTAACCAATTGTATCTTGTCTGTCCCCTGTTCCTACTTCACAGAAGATTTTGTAGGTAACAAACTGTAAACTGTGTACAGCTGCTATTTTTTAAAGACTGATATTTATTTTAAAACTGCAAAGACAGTCACCCAAAGGCTGACTACAGACCCAATGCTACCACTACAGTCTCCAGTTTATAGAGATAGCACAGGTAACCCTCTTAGACATAATTATGATGGGACTTTAAGGGACTGCCTGCTCCCCCCCCCTTTTTAATGGAAAAAGGGTGAAGTTGATTCTCACTGATTCCCATCCCCCTCTGTACAAAACCTCACCACATAAACCTGCTCCAGATAGTTACGATACTGCAAGAGGTGGTGCAGACAAATGGAAGAATTCTGAAAACTGCCTCCCTCCTTCTTCCATCCATCATTCACTGGAGAAAAGAACCTCCCTGCACAGGTAACAACCCAGATTGCTAAATTGGATCCTCTTCAAGGAGGGTCCTGCTTGCACTCAGGACCTTGGGGCCTCCATGACATCTGGAGGCAGGGCATAGCCCAATTGTTGCTGGGGCGGTCCCACGATCGCCCCAGTTCCAGCACCCAATCAGGCTGTTGCAAGTTGGGGGAGGGGGAGGTTTTTATAAACTTTCCGCTGCTGAACACCAGCCCACCCACCCTCTTTGGTTTCTGTGCTTTGGCCTTGCTTGGGACTTCGGTTGGTCGCCTGTTTTGTGGTAAGGGCCTGGTAGGAATTTTGTCCACATGGCAGATTGACACTGGCCATTTGGTTTTCGCCTACTTCCCAGCAATCATCACAACTTTGTAAGGTTTGGCAGTTAGGCATTGAGTTAGTTGTGGTTGGGGGAGGGGAGGTGCAGCCATCACCTGCCCCTCATTTAAAAAGGGTATTCTGTTAAAGGAATCTGGGGGTTCTGGATGTTGTCTGAAGTCCGCTTGAGGGGCTAGGGCCATGCCAGGACCACAGGAACTCCGGGGTGAGCTACAGCCGATTTGCATCGCTGTAGCTCCCTCGTTTGGTTTACCCTTTCAGACCTCCTGCGGGGTGGGCAGGAGTCAGTTTTAGTTTGACAATGACTAAGCCAATACCACTCACATTGTGGAATCAATAAAGTTGTGGCCTAAATTTTGCCCATTAATCTTAAACAAAAAAACTGAGCCTGTGTGAATTTATTTCTAGGGGGTTACCTGAGGTCCTTGAAGCACAATGCTAAAAAGCATGGCAATCCTGAAATGTTTCTTGCCTTGCTAGAAACACACCCAACCCCTTGGAAGGTGGTGAAGGGCTGCAGCAATTTTCCTCTTTAAACACGGAGCTGGCAGCACTGCTTCAGTGCCAATATGGGTGACACTCTAATGCCTCCAGCAGAGCACCCTTGCAGAATATTGTGTGGGATCAAGTGAGGGGGCTGCATATTTATAGGTGCATTTAAAATACAAATGTAATGGTATTCTCTCATGAGGCTTTCTTAGTCTTTTTCGTATCCACACCATGACAGCCAAGCCCTTACCTTGCCTTCCATTATTGTCACGACATCGGGCAAACCACCAAGCACTTTACCACGATCTATGAAGAAAAAAGCAATCAAATTATATAATTATCAGTGCATTTTGCCAATTGGAGAGTATGCGCCTGTAGGATGGTCAAGGTGAGACAAATGCTGAAACGGGGGGGGGGGGGGGACACAGTATCAGCAGCTACTTCCTGATTTTTAAGGAATATGCAAAATATGAAATGTCTGCAGGCAACGTTAGCCGGCAAGTGGATACTGAAGATTGTTAAAGGGCACAGCCCGTTCTGTGTCGTCTTCATCCTCAATTTATTTCTTGCTCCCTCAGAGGTTTTCAGTGTAAAAACTCTTAGTAGCTCCAAACTCTTAATAAACAAAGACTGGGAGGCTATTTAAAAAATGGAGATAAGGAACAGCTAAGCTCTCAGCCCATTGCAATGCAAAGGGGTTTATTGTGATAGCGTCATACCCTTACTTTTAAACTAACATTTATACATTACCCAATAACAAATGCCTCTGGACAGCTTACAGCAACTTGAATTAATTTTTGGCGAAACATTAAGTAGTGCATGATTCCCAGCATCTCTAGGTAGAGCTGGGTGAGACTCCTTCCTCAAATGCTTGGCAGCTCCTGCTGCATTTCAGTGTCAACAATACTAAGATAGATGGTTCATTGGACTGAGTCTGCATAAGACAGCTTCCTATGCTCCCATAATCAGTATCCCCAGTTTTCTCCAAGTAATGCTCAGTTCAAATTTCAAGACATCTGGACACTTTAAAAATGGAAACATCCAGTTTCTTCTGGCTCAACAGCACCAGGTGAGACTCTGCTAATATATAGAGTTGGCCTAAAGATTTTGCTTTTTTTCCCCCTGTAGGTCAAGATGAATTTAAAAGCATGCCCACACAACTCATGTTTTATCTTATACTGAGCAGCATAATAATAATACATAAAATTATTAAGACTTGACTATTTTCAGTTTCAGTTTTACACTTAATTCTAATTTTTACCTATCCTGTTATTGTAACTGCACAGTTTAGCTGGACTCCGCATTCAGGGGCATTATCCCTGACATAAATTAGAGTCCCCATTTCACCTGTAAGCAAGGGCTGAAAAGGTGGATGAATCTAAAAAGGCAGGCAGTTGCTCTTTCTGTAAGGCATTTAAATAAGTGAAGCAGACACCCCGAAATGTTATCCCCCCAGGAGATTGCCTAGTTTGCATCTATGGATTTGGCAGGCTCTGCATATACAACCAAGAAAAACATTAGCTGACCATTTCAGGTAAAATGATTGTCCTGGGAAATGGGAAATGACTAGCGTCTGTCATCATAATGGTACAGAAATCATAGTGAAATATGATGAAATAAGACACCTCCCTGGAAGCTATGATTTTAGACTAAAAGTGGAAGTATATTACAGGCAAGTAATAAATAAGCATGCTTAGGGTCAGAGTACCTGACTGATTATCCGTGCTGGTGAATAACGGGCAGCCCTTATGTATACTATCTATCACTCAGATTTCTTGCCATCATCAACATGAAATCTGTCACCCTTGGTTTCCAGTCTGCATTGCATATACTCACCCGTAGTCTGTTCTCACTGTCAGCTCTGAAACCTAACTAACAATAGTTTCTTAAGTTGAGAGGTTTATACTGGACACCCATTCTCTAACACTTTTCTATTCCCTCCTGCCAACTTGCTTTCCAAGAATAAACAAACACAGGTTCTCCAGCTAAGGCAGACCTGCTTGACAACCCTCCCCTCCCCCAACAGAGAGCAAAAGCAGGAGGTTTATCAAGTCTTGGGGGGAGGGTCATCGGACATGTATTGTGGACTGTGCTAAGGTTGGTGGGTTACAAGTTTTCCACATCTTCTCTAAAACGGCAACTATTTGGTTTGAAAGTGCACCTTCCTCTTAAAATGAACTGATTGAAAGCACCATTATGTATACCTTATTCCAGGCTTCCTCAACCTCGGCCCTCCAGATGTTTTGAGACTACAATTCCCATCATCCCTGACCACTGGTCCTGCTAGCTAGGAATCATGGGAGTTATAAGCCAAAAACATCTGGAGGGCCGAGGTTGAGGAAGCCTGCCTTATTCCTTCACTTTTGTTGAGCTTTGTAAAGGTAAATAAAAGGAACAAGGTCTAACTAGCATTCACTAGGCTGCTAGATCCTGCTCTTTTATGATGATAATAAATAACATGCTTCCTCTGTACAGAATGTACTTACTCTTCTCAGCAAAAGCAGCTGCCCTAAAGTGGGGAAAGAAAACAGAAAACAGAATAATTAATATCACAATTATGTATATGTATATATACACAAGGGACGTGGGTGGCACTGTGGGTTAAATCACAGAGCCTAGGACCTGCCGATCAGAAGGTCGGCAGTTCGAAACCCTGCAACAGGGTGAGCTCCTGTTGCTCAGTCCCTGCTCCTGCCAACCTAGCAGTTCGAAAGCACGTCAAAGTGCAAGTAGATAAATAGGTACCGCTCCAGCAGGAAGGTAAATGGCATTTCCGTGCGCTGCTCTAGTTCGCCAGAAGTGGCTTAGTCATGCTGGCCACATGACCCGGAAGCTGTACACCGGCTCCCTCGGCCAATAAAGCGAGATGAGCGCCGCAACCCCAGAGTTGGCCACAACTTGACCTAATGGCCAGGGGTCCCTTTACCTTTTATATATACACAAAGATTACTCTCCCACCTTTGGAAGAGTTCAAGGTGCTGTACATGGCTTTCCCTGGTCTCCCTTTTATCCCCACAACAGCCCTGTGACGTGGTATGGACTCCCTCAGGAGGTGGTGGACTCTCCTTCCTTGGAGATTTGTAAGCAGAGTTTGGATGGATATCTGCTGTGGATGCTGTAGTTGAAATATCTGCATTGTAGGGGGTTGGACTACAATTCTATGACTCTAAGTAGGTTAAGCTAAGAACTGGTGACTGGTCCAAAGTCACCCAGTGAGCTTCATGACTGAGTGGAATTTTGAGCCCTGGTCTCCTTGATAATTGAGTCCAACACTCTAATCATTATGTCACATGGGCTCTCCATAGAAATAGGGTGTAAGAAACATCTTATACCCTATTATGTTAGAATGACACTGGTAGCCAAGGCAAAGTAATTGTCATGAGTTTAAAGGAAAATGGTATAAAGCTTACTTGAGTCTCTGGAATTCTGCATAAGCATCGTCAAACGCTGCAAAGAAACATTTTTGAGTATTATAAAGTTTGCCTTTTGAATCGGCACAAATGCTTTGATGCCTACTTGTGTTTCTTTTCTGTTCTCAGCTTATAAAAGTGGTAGAGAAACATCAAATGAAATCTAAGAAGAGAGATCAAAGGCAGCCCTGATGAGAAGAGGCATAGCATGAACGAAGTTGGTAGTGTGCCTTGAAAACTGTTAGCACAAAATAAATACCTAATAATAAACAATGAACGTTAATTCCCCAACTGCAAAATGACCCCAAATTACAATGCGATGAATCCAGTAGCATGCTTAAAGATGCCTACCTTGTCCAGATAAATCAATACTCCGCTTATAGGACTCCTTGCCATCAAACAGCTCAAAGGTGTACTTCCCTTTATCCTTTTCTGTGGGCTCACATATCTGCATCCAGGCAACTTCATCACTGCCTCCAATCCTCATCTTTTCACTAGAAGAAATCTTAGATTCCCTGGGGAAATGAACACAGGGAGTCTTCAAAATACACACACAGGTGGACTTTAGGCTTCTGTTTCTTGAGCAACAGTTCCTCTTGCTCTGTGACAAAGCCTTTTGATGCCAGGAGAATTTTCAGAAGCAGGCTGAAACATGGTGTACGGAGGGATCAATAACAAATGTTCAAAAGGGGAGAAGCAATACAATTTTTTGCTAGCCATGGATTGTGTATGCCTTGGTTTAGCCATCAGACTGAAGATTATAAAAGTAAGCATACTTGTAAGCTTGTTGACCAGGGATTAGTGGGAGAGAAACTTGTTTTCTCATTCCATGGATTCATAATCAGCGCCAGCTTCAAGAAATGCAAGATGGGATTTACAGGCTAACCTAAGCACTATCAGTTTCTTCAACATAAAATCATGCTCTGGGTCTACAAGCCAGAGGACAATTCTGGGGTTAATTTAATCACGTCTGAGAGATTCATTTTTGGATGATCTAGCCTCCACCTTTGTTTGGTTTGTTTTCTTCAAAGCCTATGACTCCTTCCTATTTCATTTTGAATTTATTTTATACTTATTTTTAGTCTATTCATATTTCAATTTAATAATCTACATGAAGCTTGAAGGAATTTTTTTTTTTAAGGAAGAACATCTGTCACCCAGAGAGGGTTCTATTACTTCTGCTATTTATCATTTATAGTGCTTTCAAGATGTGCATTGCATTTTCAGAGTGAAATAAGAGACATATGCAAAGAGACAGGGCGGGGAGGAATGCCAGCAAGGAGAAGGGGAAAGACAAGGAGAAAGACAAGCAAAAGCAGATTAGATCAGCCAAAGGTTTGTGAACAGCTCATTGGTGCAGCTCACTTTCGGCTTTGTGGGCAAAAGGTACCAGGTTCAATAAATCTCAGGTCAGGCTGAGAAAGACTCCACTTTTTAAATCCTGGAGAGCCACCAGCCATTAGTGCAAAGACAAGAACAACTCAGTGTACGTCAGTCCTATGTTCATGTTTGAAAGATGGGCTTTCGGGCACAAAGGGCAGCATGGAAAAAAGCACAACTGACGTTGCTAGAAGTGTACAACCTGAATAAAATTCTAAACTTCAACCTGAGATGTTCAAGGCTGTGCCAGTGGTAAGATTTCGTTATTTGCCTGGGTCGCTGCTGCATTTTGATTTTTAAATGTGCAGTCTGTATTTTATATGCTTGACATTCTAGGACCAAGCAATGGATGATATAACTGAGTGAGGGATAGGGAAAATGTAAAGGAAAACACTTGGCCGTTTGTGTACAACCTCTACTACATATGATTAGGTTTCCTGGGATTGTGATTTTAGCCTGTAAATAAGAATATCAAGTTCTGGATATTTTGCTCCATCATTAGGAAGATGGGAAGACATTTGCTCCCCTACAAGCTTAAGAGCATTCCCAAATTTCCTCACCTGTTGAGGTTAGGCAGGTAGCAACTTCAGGGCTCTGCTCTCATACTGCGGGTTCAAATTCAATTATGTATTTTTCTGTGGTGGCACCTTATTTGTAGAGTTCCCCCAAACCCCACCTATACAACCAGATAAGTGTTGATTTATTTGCTCAGGCATTATATTTCAACACATGTTGTCTTATCACATCAGATTTGAAAATGCAATCAGACTGCTTTTGCGTGGACAGGCGGAGTCCCCAGATCCCGCGCGGTCCCCCCGTCATGTGGAATAACGACTCATGACAACGTGCTATGGGATTAAATTGGCCACAACTTTATTAAATTTCAAATGTGGGTAGACCTTGGCTCAGGCATTGGGCGTTCTCCCTCCCCAGTCCCCAGCCGGGGACCTAGGGAGCATCAGGGTTATCCAGTGTGTGGGGGGGGGGATGGGCCGGCTCTGGAGAACATATGTTCAAGCAGAGATAGCCGCCCCCGTTACGCCGCCGCCGCAGGGGAGAGCAATGACGACCTTTCGGCGTACGGTCAAAGCCTCCCTTCAGAAACCCCTTCAACAGGGAACCCTGGTATCGCCGCCGCAAAGAGGAAGATGGACTAAAGGATTCCGCCCAAGGCCTGATACCACCAAAGTTGTGACGTTTTGCTACGGGAAAGGCGAAACCTGCCAATGCAGGGAAATTCCTTTCCGGCCCTTTAACAGCGACCTTAACGTAGCAGCGCCCACATACCTGCGAAGAAAAGTTAACCTGCAAAACCTGTGAAGAAAAGTTAACCTGCAAATAAGACATTAACTGAGGGTGGGTAGGGTGGGAGAAGCTCTGGAGCCAAGTGAGGATTCCCAGGTAAGATCCTCCCTCTATTGTGTGGGCAAGTAATCCCTCCCCTACCTGGCCTGGTCTCCTTGGCAACGCTTCCCCCAGGTGGGATTGGACAACTGACTGAGGTAGGCGGAGACCTCCAGGTATCCCACCTGAGGGAAGGCAAACCAAGCCTATGCTGTTGGAGCCGCTCCAGATCTAGGGGCTGCGCGCGTCCACGCAAAGGGCGTCCCCCGTTTTAAGCGGGGAGCGGTCATTGTTGTCACTATGCTATCTTATTTAGCCCTCTTGTTGTTTGGTTTTATCTCACTATTTTATCTTATAAGCAATTTTTACAGCTTTTTTATTTTTAATCATAATTTTTTTTTTGATAAGGTTGGACACTAAACAAATGACTTATATGTGCTGCAGCCTTTTGGTTCTTTAGAGCTGTTGGTGATACCGACCAAAGGAATAAAAACTTACAATTCAGGGTGAGCACAGACATATTTGTTTGCAAACAATCATTGGCTCACAGGCGCATTGGAAATCTAATCTTGGCTTTGAAACGATGCATCCAGTGCTCAGATTATTATTTTTTAATCCAGCTATTTCCATCCAGAAAATGACTAGACCTCAGTGGCTAAAATATTGATACCTCCAACTTAGATTCCCATCGATCAGCTAAAAACCCCCAAGTCCAAACAGAAATGATTTGGCCTAATGATGACAAAGGCCTAATACGAAAAGATTGAAATATCATTACTTAGCTTTTGCTTTGCTATCCTAGATTCAGCTCACTCGACCAAGCAAGTCTCTAGATGGGAATTCAGATTCCCTGCAGTGCAATGAGTGGATGATTGCATGCTGGCTTTACGATTTGTTTTATGCTCCCTGCGATGCAAAGTGTTGGGATGATTCAGGGCGGGCTGGGGATTTGCATGCAATGCTGCCAGCTGTGCTGATGACAGCATGGAAACCAAAAATTGGCTCATTTCTTATGAAAAGGTTGTCGCCTGAATTTTTCATTTTTCTACTTTTTTTTTTAAAAAAAGAAGGAACACTGAATATTCGCATCTCTCCACCCCACCCCCAATATTAGTATCAATGTCAAAATGTTAATTTGTTTAGTCTCTGAATACCAGGCAAAAATCACCCAGTACAGTCATACCTCAGCTCCCAAACACCTTGGGAGTAAAACATTCCGGTTCCCAAACGACTGGAAACTGGAAGTGAGTATTTCGGTTTTTGAACTTATTTTGGAAGCTGAATGTCCGGCGCAGCTTCCACTAGAAAGGACCCTTCCACGGCCTAGGACCCTCGTACCTTCCTAGGACCCTAGGACCCTAGGACCCTTCCACGGCCTAGGACCCTCGTACCTACGGGACCGCCTCTCCCGGTATGCCCCACGGAAAGCCTCAAGGTCCATAAATAGCAACACCCTAGTGGTCCCGGGCCCAAAGGAAGATAGATTACCTTCAAGCAGAGCCAGGGCCTTTTCAACACTGGCTCCGGCCTGGTGGAACGCTCTGCCTCATGAGACCAGGGCCCTGCAGGATCTGATCTCTTTCCGCAGGACCTTTAAGAGAGAGTTGTTCCGCCTGGCCTTTGGCTTGGAGCCAATTTGATTCCCTCCCCCTCTTTCTTTTTCCTTTTTCCTTTCTCCTCCTGTGATGAGGCTGCATTTTAATATTTTAATGTTTCAATATTTTAATGTTGTATTTTAATCTTGTTCTTAAGTTGTATTCATTCAACTTGTTTTTATTATTGCTTGTTAGCCGCCCTGAGAACGGCCTTGGCTGGGGAGGGCAGGGTATAAAAATTATTATTGTTGTTGTTGTTGTTGTTGTTTCCAGCACACCTGTGCAATCCGGAACCAATTGGAAGCCGCCCCTTGGTTTCTGAACTCTTTGGAAGTCGAACGCACTTCCAGAATGGATTCCGTTCAACTTTCAAGGTACATCTGTATTCAGGGCTTGGCTGTTACTTACTTGTGAAGCCAACTTGCTTTCATTTCCTCTGTGTAGTACTTCAAGAAACACTGTAGTCTTATGCCTTCTGGAGTACAGTGGATCTTCAGTTCAGAAGCAGATTTACCTACAGGGATTAAACATTATTCAGATCCAGTGGTTGGGTTTTAGAATCTCAAATCATGATCTAAGAAAAAACTCCAACAACCAGACATTCTTAAGATAATTCATTCTACCTACAGACTTTCAATAAATAAATAGTGAATTAACAGATTTCCAGGACCACTCCTCTTAAAGGACTGCCATGAAGCAAGGTTAATATAATGATGCTGAAGAAGAGAATTGGTTGGTTTTTTTTAATTCTCATGTGTTTAATTAGACATTAAAAAACCATACTCACAATAAATTAAAATTGCTATTACTATTATGTCATCTATGTATGTTGTTTTGTTGTATGAAATGCCAGAAATCTGGAGATTGTTGACATTTACTGAAAAGTCTTAAAAGGCCAGAAGGAAATGCCAGAAATTCTGACCTACCAAATAAATCTCAAAGTCAGGTCACTGCCCTCAGTAAATGACCAAATATTACCCACATTTCCAAAATTAACATGATTAAGCATGGTGAAGTGTCAAAACCAAGTCTCTGAACTCAAACATTTTCATCATTCCTAGAATTTACCAATAAATATCAACATTCACTAAGTTTCTGATGCTTACTCTGTAAACCATAATTTTCCTCGTGCTGTAATATTTCAGCCCAAAGTGCAATATTTATATTAATATATTCAATATATTACAGAATTCAATGTGATTTAGATTTTAATGATGAAATTTTTAAAAAATTATTCTGAGTTGGATCATACTGTGACCATAAACACACTTATAGAAGAGTAACTTCTTATCACAAAGCTAACAAACTGCATTGCCCAAAGCCTCTTCAATAAAGGACACAAAAACAAGCATGTGGTAAAAAAAAAAGCCTTCCTGTTTAATAATGTCTATTAAAGTCAAAAACCGATTCAGAATGTTAACTACACCTTAGAAGGGGATAAGGCTCTTTTGAGATTTCCTGCTTTCAGTGACAACAGGTTATCTCAGTTTCTGAAAATTTTAACATATTTTTGAAATGAAGTGGAAATAACATTTACTCACCACTGACTCGACTCAATCCCAGGATCATATCTTCATATACTGAGGAGAGGAAGGGGGAAACAACAGATTGTTAGCATGGGAAATACAGGTATGTAGTATTCACATGAGAAAGCTTTACACAGATAAACAATGATACTGTGATAATTATTTCAGAAGGGCTTGTGCTTGGTTATTTTGACTTTATGTTCTTGCATTTAACAATCTTGGTCTCCATATCGCTGCACACATAGCTTTGGCTAAGTCCAAATTAGACCAGTTCAGTGGGCCAACCTGCCAAATATCCCTCAGTTGTCCTCATGAGCTGGAATCTTGCAACCAGTTTCAGAGCTGATGGGGACAACCTCTGTGTATTTGGCAGGCTGTCCAGAAAGAGCCTTCAGGAGGGGTCAGCAATGGAGAGCAGGTCAAACATGCCCAGCCCCAAACTCCACCCTCATGCAGTTGTTGCCAGATGTTTGACGGCACCTAAAGTAGGCTTATGTAAACAGCTCAAACAGCCACCTCATGTGGCTATTTTGTGAGTGTTTTCCTGAGGGAGGAACTGACATTAATTAAAGGACAATATGTGCATGTATTTGGCAATAATAAATAAATAAATCTGAGGGAATGAGTTACTCCATCGTCATACAGCAGCAATCAGAGGTTTGTGAGGCTTGAGCTATATGGGATGAGGTGGATGACCTGCATGACTTTAGAAGGAGCAGAAAATATGCAGTTATAAATGTTTCAGAACTTCTCACAACTTCCATGCCAGAGGAGCTTCCATCCCAGAGGTGATGTAGTTATTTCCTTTATTCCCTGTGGTTTGGAATAACAAATAACCATGCATGACCAATGCAGGGGAAAATAGAGCTTTACCTTGTCCTGATACATCAATAGCAGACATATCTTGACCTCGGTCATCTGACAGTGTTGCCTTATATTCACCCTGGTCCTTTATAGACAGCTAGAAATAAAATACGACACAGGGATTGTGTGACTTATATTAATGAAAGTCACCTATATACTTGGTGCATTTTCTATATCAGAAAGGAAATCTACTTTGAACTTTGTCTGAACAGAAATGACATGAGAGGCAGATGCAGTGAGAGCATCGTTAATGAGATAATTATTGCATTAATACTTTTGCATGTACCGCTTAATTAATTAAACTGCCTACCAAGCTTAACATCATTATCAGTCCAGTACAAACCAATGTAAGGTTAAAGGAAGTATTCATTTTGACAGAAAGAGATGAAGCAAGTTGGTTTAACATGCTAACATATAGGTGATTAAAGATTGCCTTCTCACTTTTGGTTTATATATATGTGAGATACAGTCAAAACCAAATACATTTAGGTAGTGGTGACCACCTTGCAAATATGCAACAGAGACTGCGCCATAGGCACAGCTACTTGGGTGTAAGTCTCATGGAAATCAGTGAGTTGTGCAGCAAAGTCCTTTGCATGTTACTCAGAAGTAAGTCCCTCTGTGTCCAGTGGGCTTTACTCCTAGATACATGGAATTGCAGTATTTACTTCTAATTAAATATGGGGCATTACCTGCATGTAGTCAAACAAAACATTCTTCAAGTCCCATTAATTTCAGTGAAAGAGAGTATTTGAATAATAATAACCTGCACAAAGCTAAATTTCCCTCGCTAGCAGGAAACACAAATAAAAAGCACACACAAGAATGGGAATTCCCATTGTTGGAGCAGTCAACAAGTACAATAAGTACAAGCCTCATTAATCCTGAACTTAGGAAGGAGGAATCTATTAAATGCGTCACCCAGAAATCATTGCACCATACCTTTGGAATAGTCAAACAAACAACCTCTTTCTGCAGGTCAGGCACCTCTTCAACATCAAATCCAGCACCATCTTTGTACCACTTGAAAAAGGTCTCTTTCTTGGTATTTGCCACCTGAACAAGGAGAAGAAAATCAATGAAGTATAATATGCTGCTAACAAGCTGTGCCCTGATGGTTTGTTTGGCTCACCAGTCACAACATTTTTGAAGGTCCACCTCCCCTCATATTAGTCTGCCCAAGTATTAAGATCTTCTTTGAAGGCCCTGCCCACATTCTGAGGTGCAAAATGGAGAAAGGCTTCATCCGTGGTGGCCCCCTGTTTTGGAATGCAATTTGATTAATCAGGGGTGCCTACTTAACAGCTTCCATTCTGTTCTCTCTATTCACTGGATTTTGATCTTCATATTGTTTTAAAATATTGCTAGCTGCCTCAAGAGAAGATCCGCATAAACATTCCAGTAATTATAGACACATCTCATAACGTGGCACATAGTTTCTACTGGAACCAGTCAGAAAAAGTAGCAAAGCATTTGGAGTGACTTAAGACTATGATTTGGACTGTGATTTGGACTTGAGACTAGTATTTGGAAACAATGCAATTTTGAAACCAATGGGATTGAATGCCTTTTCACATGATAGCAGTTGGGGAAAACAGCTACCCACATGGTAGGCCAGAGATCACAGGGTGCTACTTGCACTGAGCCACTGGTCTATCTGATTGCACACTGGTTCTCCAGAGTTTCAGACAAGAGTTTTCCCCAACCCTACCTGCCGGGAGATGCCAGGAATTGGCCCTGGGACCTTTTGCATGCACAAAGCATGTGCTTAACTGCTGAGCTTCAGGTCTTCTGCTTTTTTCAGATATCTTCTGGCCTGCAACTTTCTGTGTTTTCTGAAGGAAACCAGGATCCATCAGAAATAAGTATGCAGCACTTTCTTGGATCTGTTGCCAAAGTGCCTGTGGGAGCTGCTACCCAAATTGGTTCATCTGGACTCATAAAGAAACCAATGTTGCAATTCTGCCAAACGTTTCGCTCTTGGCGACCAATGACTGCGCTGGAGCTGGGTTGAAGGTCTTCTTCTACAGCATAGAGTGCCCTGCGGGAGGCAGGAGCACAAGGAAGCTTCCTGAAGGCAGCCCTTTTGAAGTGCTAGTGGAAATTCAGCTCAGCAGAATGGCAAGAGAGAAACAGTGTGTTGTTTTATGCTTGGAATATAGCTGTGTATTGGCTGACATGAAATATTGCTGGATGAGCGAGTTTAAATGGTAACTTGAAAGAAGCAATTTTAGAAAGAGGGGTTTTTTAAAAAAAAAAAAAGAACAGAAGATGATTACTTTCCAGAGACACTGTTCTGTGCTGCTGAACAGGTCTGTCCATCATGGAGCCACTGTTGCTTCTGTAGCTGTAGTTTTTGTCACATTCGTCTAACAAGGATCACAGCAATACCAAAACTAAAAGCAGATATGGCAAAATTAGGTTTCCTGGCCCATAATGATTTTAGCAATGTGCCTGTGGAGTCTCTGGAAGAAATGCACACAGAGGCAAACTACTCTCCACGTGGAGCCCAAAAATAGCAAACAGTGAAATATAAACTACTTTTGAAATTGAGCGAATATCCCAAAGCAATTTGTAGCAGGGCATGGAGTTGTACTAGTGAAAGAAGAGAAGTCAGAAATCACAGTAGCACTCAGGATTTTTGTATCTCAGGCACTGTAAGATTTATAAAGATGTTGGTTCCTTAATATGGTTTGGTACAGAAGCCCTCTCCTGTCAGTCACTAAATGGCCGTTCTGATGAATGAATGGATCCTATTTCGGAGCTATACCACCATTCTAGATTTGGGTTGGACAGGAGAGGGTTAATGGGGCTGGAATGAGTGCAAAAGTTATTTGCTAGTCCCATGGCAGATGCATTTTTTCATTAAGGCAACTGTCAGTGATGTGTTTCCCTGGGAACTAATTGTTAGGCTTCTTCTAAACAGGACAAAAGCAGGCCTCCCACCATGCAACAAAAGATGGTGTAACCTAGGTGTCTGTGTGTAATAATAAACAATAGACTGCAGTTTGAACCAGAGAAGAAACAGCATCCAAAGAGAAAAACTGAAAGCTGAGTTTCGGCTCTGTAAACTAGCAACATTTGAGAGTGCTGACTCTTTCTCTAGAAATCTGAGTGCGGTTGGCTGTTTTGAGTGTGCCTCCACTGTGCCTCGACCTATGTGCAACCTGAAGACTTGTAACTAAACACAAATACTACAAAACACCAAAAGCCTTCAGTGATTTCCTTTCCAAAGAAACTGAACCTAAGTAAGCATGATGACCCTTCCACTCCTCACCACTTGGTGAGACACCATGTTTCTGAGTTTAACTCAGGGGTAGGGAGACAAAAGCAATAGCTGGGGAATGGGCTACTGGAAAAAGTTGAGCCACGGGCATTATATGTCACTCATTGTTCTACACAAGACACAGAGAATGTACCTAAGCTTTGTGACGCAGATGATCAAAAGCCGGTGGTGAATGGCTTGGTTGTCAATGAGGAACTCAGCTTCACTGCATTTTGGGTACACCCTCCTTCCCCCACCCCACCCCAGCACACTGACTCCAGAAAATCCCCATGATTCTAAGTTGTTGCTTGAATTTGCTGGCCTCGGTTTAGACTGATATATATATATATAAGGGACTTGCACTGAGTGTAGGTAGTAAGAGAATGGAAACAAATCTCTTTCTCTTTCTGCCTGGCCTTCAGCTGAACTGTACCACCTTGAACACATCCTGATTCTGCATCCTTGCAACCCCAAGACACTGAGGCACTGTCACCACCAGTGGCTATATTAGCACTCATTGGCTTCGTGGTCAGAGCCTTCTATCTCTTCATGTGCACATGGTACTCTATTTACATGCCCTAAACGTTTGTACTGCAACTGCTTGCAGTTATGCCCCACGAGGAAGGGTGCCATTTTATTAAAAGGTAACAAAATATAATGGCTCACCTTACAGAGCAGCAGCACTTCGCATTCTTCTGAAATTTCCCAATACAAAAACTCCAGAAAATGAGGACCTTGAAAAAAAGAAAAAGATAAACATATCATATACTGTTGCTTCTATTGTTTTAGAGAAGGAACAAACTTGGAGAGAAACACAGAACAGGAACTAAATCACATGACAAGCAGTTGTCCCTAGAAGACCTTTACTCTTTTGGTCAGTGCACCAATACATAGATAGTCATGTAAGGTGAGAGAGATGCTCAAGTCCAGGGAGGATCTGTGAGTACAGCTAAGTGCCCCTGCTGCACTTATGAGCACGATTGTGGGATTTGCAATGGCTCTGTGCTGCTCATATACAAGTTGGCAAATGTGTTTACCAACATATAATGCATTCAAAGCAGGAACAAGGCTCTGTAATATCAATTTATGGTTTGCATAAGTAGTTAGGATGGCGTCCACGTTTTGAGTGTTTGCCACTTGATCGTTGCAGCACCAATAGGCAACGTCAGCAAACCTCATTATTGGAGCGCTCATATCTAATTCCCTCAAAAGCAATGCTTTTCAACAGACTCACCCGGCACATTCAGCAGAAAATCATTAAGTGCTGAGCAATCAAGGTTTACAAAAACAAGTAATGTACATCTGTGTGTGATAGTAGCTACTCCGGACAAGTGAGGTAAAGAGGGCTGAAGCAGGAGTTCAACAAATGAATGTGCATATGCCTTATGGACAGGCATGAATAAGTATATTATAATGGAACTAAGAGGGGGAGTGGAAGGAAATCAAACAATCTGGTTCAATCTGGTTATGATTTTTTTTTCTGTACAGTGGTACCTCAGGTTAAGAATTTAATTCGTTCTGGGGGTCCATTCTTAACCTGAAACAATTCTTAACCTGAGGTACCACTTTAGCTAATGGGGCCTCCCACTGCTGCCGTGCCGCCACCGCACAATTTCTGTTTTCATTCTGAAGCAAAGTTCTTAACCCGAAGTACTATTTCTGGCTTAGCGGAGTCTGTAACCTGAAGCGTATGTAACCCAAGGTAACACTGTATTTTTTCCCCGTTTTGTCATTTTTGGAAATGTGTTATACACACACACACACACACACACACACACACACACAGAACTGGACCCAAGCCTCCTCTGAACTTCATCCGGGCACTGTTCCTCCCTTCCGGGGGCAACATGCTGTGTTTTGCCCTGTGAAGAGAGCTGCTCTGCCCTGCCACCTGCTGCTGCTGCCGCCGCCCACTCCACCCCTGCCGCGTGCCCTGCCACTTCCACCACTGGCAGAAAAGCATCATCATCATCAGTGCCAGTTTCAGGTGAGATCTCACCCAAAACTGACATGATCTTGTCCCAAGCCGTCATCAGTGGTGGCGGCACTTCTCTGTTACTGGCAGAGGCAATGGGGCAGCAAGGTTTCTGTGGGGGTGCCATGTGGGTGACTTCTGCCACTTGAGGCAGTGGCCTCACCCTGTCTAATGCCTGGATCAGCTCTGCTCCCTCCCATTCACTGTCACAGTCATCTTCTTCCCTTTCTCATCTACCAGGCAGAAGCAATGGAGAAACCTCTCCTGTAAGACCTCCTTTGGGCTGAAGAAAATTGCCTTAGCAGCACCCCAAACACCCTGGTTCCTTGACACTATTACCCTAAAGAGAACAGTAGAAAATTGCTTTGGAAAGAAAATTCCAAACCTATTGCACCTTGATTATATATTGCAAGCTAATCTTTAGGTTTTTACGGGGGGGAGTACATTCCAACTATCTTGGAAGCAGGGCATGGTGACGTTGTGCGTGATAACAGTCTGCATGGAAACAAAATTACAGCTGCACAAAGTACTGTATTAGCATTTTTGGCATCCAGTGATGTCAGCGAGAATTAAGTGAGAACATTGTTCTCAGGGAATGTTCCCTTCCATCACACAAGAAAAACAAAGCTTGCCTAATTGTTCCCACCTTACCTTGTTTCCTCAGGAACTCCCTTCTCTGGAACTCGGCTTCAGCCAATACATCCTTGAATGCTAAAAAAAAATTAAAAAATAGATGAGAGAAAACAGAGTGAGTTGCTTACTTGCTCAGGTATTCAGAAATGCTTAAATTACATTGTAACCCAGCCTTCCCCAATCTGGTGAGTGGTTGGATTAGATCACAGATGGAGAAACTCTAACCACTCAGATATTGTTGGACACCAGCTCCCATCAGCCTCAGCCAGCATGGGCAGTGATTGGGGGTGGTGGGAATTGTAGCCCAAAATGTCTGGCGAGCACCAGGTTTGGGAAGGCCCCTGTAAGCAAAGGCAAATCGGTCGGGGAACCTACCATCGCCAATAAGAACTAATGAAGATTGGTTCTTGGCTTTCCCATCGTGAATCTGCACCGTGTAGGTTCCTTCATTTTCAATAGTGAAGCGGTCCATAAGCATCTCAATGATACCAGTCGAATGGTCACATTTGATCTTATGCGTCTGAAAACAAGGTAGGTCAAAGAGATTATCTATGGGGATTATGAGGCTGGGCTGGAAGGGGAGAGGTGAGTGAGGCAACAGGGCTGCTCTGCCTGGTTCTCCCTGCAAAATGGGCCTGCTGCCAAATGTTTGGGAAGTTGAAAGGTGTTCCAGGGGCCGGGAAGGGTCAGGGTGGAGCCAGCCTGGGATTTGCTAGATCCCCAGTTGGTCTCACTGCCATTGTATAGCAGTGTAGGCCCTGTACAGGAGCTGACTGTCCCCTGCCCACCATCCACTACAGCCTCTGTGAACAGCAGGACTGCAGACGCAGTTGTGGTCTTGACATTCTGCAAAGCCCTGGTGGCAGGAGAGGGCATTTGCATTGCACCTTAATTATCTGAATATTATTGGCCGAAGGGTTTTATTCCCACATAAGGACAATGGGAAGCTTAAAAGGCAGTACAAAATCAAAGAAAATCATTGCTCTAGAAGGCATAAGAATATCAAGGGGAAAAGACTCCTCTCTCTGCTGTATCTTTCCACAACTAGGTGTCTCCAGTATTGTATCTTGAAAGCTTTTGTTGCTTCAGAAAACTGACTCTTTTAATTCCAAATGGTGGCTGATCATCAACATCCTCGTCGTCATTTGTATGGTGCTTTAAAGTGTTCAAAGTTCTGTTTATGGGTTGGTTATTTGAGGTTGTGTGTTTATGTTTATGTAATAGTTTTAAGAAATCATATATATATATGACTTTACAGTACAACTGTATGTTGCCTTAGAAGTTAATTTCACTGCATTTCATGGGCTTATTCCCAATTATGATTTAGGACTCAGCTACATTAGTCAAAAAAACAGTATTTTGGATGCATTATAAACATGCAACTCCAGATGGCGATGTAGAGCACAAAACTTTTCTATGCAATTTTACATAGTTTTTTCTTTCTTTTATTATAACAATTTAATTTATGACTTATTTATAGCAGGGGTTTTCCTCTGTGTAGATCCACCCTTATTCCCAGTTATAGCTTGTTCCTAGTTCTACAGTTATAGGAATGTAGGCTTACATAGGATTTTATCACTTTTTCTCTCTCTCTGAAGGACTAGGCAATATGAAATGCTAGTCTTCTTTTCATCAATTTGTGGGGGGCACCACTTTTTTGTGGCTTTCCACAATCCGTATTGAACATCTTCTATACAAGCTCCATAGGGATTAATACAAAGCATTCAAGAGCACAGATGCACATCTTTTAATATTAATGTACCTTTTGAAGGCAGTGCGCCTGCTGATTCTGCCACATTCTGCTCCCTCAACCAAAGGGGCGAAAACAAAAAATTTACAATAGATCGATATTCAAAACAGAAAACTTCAATCTTTTTTCTTTATACTTCATTGGAATATATCTATTATTCCCCTTTTAAAATCTACAGGGTGTGGGATTAAAACTGCCGCCTAGAAGAGCTAATGAATTTAGCCCTCTTTTTTATGTTCCTTCATTTCAAAAAATAAAATCCTTCAAAAGAAAGGCCAGAGGAAGTTGTTCCAATTAGAGCCTCATCGGAAATTATCTATTTTCGGCCAGTGTCAAGAACAAAACTATATTCCTGCTAGTATGATGGTCTATTGAACATGATCAGCAGCTGCAGTGCCTGTCTCTGGGCAGGTTTTAGAATATAATTAGGTTTCTAGCTATTGCCATTATGCAGTGAGATGAAGTTCAATGGTTTTATGGCAGTCATAAATACGAGGCTTTTATGTGAATTTCCACAAAAATATCATCAATCTCCAAATGCAAACATCACCTGTGGCTTGCTAATTAAAGAGGTGAAATAATACTACTGTTCCAAAAAAAGGAAAAAAAGTAGCTCTGATGCCAGTGCTTTCGTAGCATTGCTAAAAATACAAAAGGCAGGGAAGGAGGGAGAGATGACGCAGGTCTGGAAATAGCCAAAAGAAGAAGGGGGGAAATGGCGTGGGAGGAAGAGGGGGAGAAGTAATAGTCCCTGGAAATTACTGCTAAATAAGGAAGCAAAAAGTAGGCAAAATATAATATTCTAAATAAAGAACATTTCCCATTTAGAACTGTCTATATATAAACTAAAAGGGATGTGGGTGGTGCTGTGGTCCAGGTCCAGAGCCTAGGACCTGCCGATCAAAAGGTCGGCAGTTCGAATCCCCTCAACAGGGTGAGCTCCCATTGCTCAGTTCCTGCTCCTGCCAACCTAGCAGTTTGAAAGCACGTCAAAGTGCAAGTAGATAAATAGGTGCCGCTCCGGCAGGAAGGTAAACGGCGTTTCCGTGTGCTGCTCTGGTTCGCCAGAAGCGGCTTAGTCATGCTGACCACATGACCCGGAAGCTGTACGCCGGCTCCCTCGGCCAGTAAAGCAAGATGAGTGCCGCAACCCCAGAGTCGGCCACGACTGGACCTAATGGTCAGGGGTCCCTTTACCTTATATATAAACTAGTTAAACCTCCTAAAGAGTTTACAACAAATCGAAAGAGTTCACAGAATTGCTGTCTATTGCATAAAGCCTTGGAATGCTTTTTATGTTAGTTGCACCATAAAACCTCCCCGGCACAGATGAATAGAGGGGAGGTGTGTTTCTGTGTGTGTGTTTTAATATGCTCCTACTACCATGACTACAACTACAAATCTGTTCAGTTTCAGGGGTGTATTGGTGTGCACTTTGTTCAGGGGATGTTAAATTTGCATTATACTCTAAATGGAGGGCAATGGAGGCTGGGGGGAATAAAAGGGGGTGCTTGTCCTAGAATTGACAAGGAAAAGGTTTTGCTAAAAATGTGGCTGGCTGCTGAGTCACTAATTACATAACACCAGAAGTAGGTGGGGCCTACTTCCCATATTGTCCTATAAGTGATGAAGAGCTGCAGAGGGCAAATGGGTCCTTCAGAGGCAAGAATGAGTTCTCTGAAATAATCTGGTGGCTAAAGTTGATGGCAATTTAACACCATTGCTCTGTACAGTTGTTTAAGCAGTTTCCTGTGGTGAGCATAATAAGGGAAGGTACAGTGGTACCTTGGGTTAAGTACTTAATTCGTCCCGGAGATCTGTTCTTAACCTGAAACTGTTCTTAACCTGAAGCACCACTTTAGCTAATGGGGCCTCCTGCTGCTGCCGTGCCGCCGGAGCATGATTTCTGTTCTCATCCTGAAGCAAAATTCTTAACCCAAGGTACTATTTCTGGGTTAGCAGAGTCTGTAACCTGAAGCGTATGTAACCTGAGGTACCACTGTACTAAAATCTGTGCTTGGAAGCTTTTAGGGTTGTTTGTCCCTCTCTCTCCAGCAAGCCTGCAGGCTGACTATCATGAAGGGTATGCCATATGTGAACAGTAAGTAGGGACTGGGTTGCATGAAGGAAAAATGTTGAGGCACTCCCAAAACTTGGCAGGAGGGTGTTGCCAATGATGCCAGCTGCACTTCCCATGTTTAAACCATTTTTCCCAACAGCCCAAAGAGAGCCAGGAGGTTGGGTGCCATTTTTCTACAGTATTCCCAATATATAATGTAGCTCTGCTGCTGCCTAGCTGCTGCCTAGCACTGCCATGCAAGCCCATGGCGGTAAGAGAGCCCTCGAGAGAACATTTTGCTCGAGGCCCCCTAGTTTTGCTGCTGAGATAAGGTCCAATGCTGCCTTACAGATGCTGGTTGATCATCCCATTGATCCTTTATAACCATAAATTTAACCTGCAAGAAGAAACGTCTCGCCTGAAGACCTAATTAGGCCTGTCAGGCTACCCAGTTTGGCCCATGAGGCTGTTTTGGTCAAACTACACCCACCTGATGTCTTATTATGTCAGGTGTGAGGCAGGGAAAGGTGTAGTTTGGCCAAAGGGGGTTTGCAGGCACCATACACATTATTTGGGAAGACAGGCAAACTAATGCCAGTGTACTGGAAGAAGCAAAAATCACCAGTGTCAACGCAATAATTCTTCAGCATCAACTTTGTTGGACTGGTCATGTTGTTCGGATGCCTGATTATCGTCTTCCAAAGCAACTGCTCTATTCCGAACTTTAAAATGGAAAGTATAATGCTGGTGGTCAACAAAAGAAGTTAAAAGGCTCTCTCAAGGCAAATCTTTAAAAATGTAGTATAAACACCGACAACTGGGAAACACTGGCTTGCGAGCGCTCCAATTGGAGAACAGCCTTTACCAAAGGTGTCATGGACTTTGAAGACACTCAAACTCAGGACGAAAGGGAGAAACATGCTAAGAGGAAGGCACATTTGGCAAACCCTCACTGTGATCAACTCCCACCCAGAAACCTATGTACCCCATTGTGGAAGGACATGTGGATCCAGAATTGGCTTCCATAGTCACTTACAGACTCACTGTTAAAACCGTTTTTATGGAAGACAATCTTACTCAGCTACAAGTGATCGCCAAAGAGTAGAAGAAGATTCCACTGACCAGCTGAATCTCCACATGGGCAAAAATGGGTCACCTGATATCATGCTATCATCATGACATCATGTGATTGAAAGGTAGATGACCATTCACACCTCAGACTTGGCCAATAGGGGTAGGGGAAATATGAATTGGGTTCACCACTAGATCCAGTTCCCTACTCTTGAATCAATCTTCTTTATTTATCACAATGTACTCTCTCACTTGTTAACAAAGGGCACTTGCCAAGTGACATGGTTTATAAGGTTATATGTATCTCACAGCTGTACATATGGAGAAATGACATTAAAAAAGAAAGAAAAAGTCCCTTCACCAGGTCTATGTACTCGTCCTACAAAGAATCTGGCACTACATCTTCCCAGGCATGTACTTACATCACTGTTGACAACTTCACTGTCATTGATTACAAATCTATAGCTGGCATCAGCTGAAATGCTCTCAGCCTGAAGCCAGAAACGAACTTGGCCTCTGTCCAAAACCTCATAGGTTAATTCAGACTTCAGAGGGATTGCTGGAGGGAAAGAGCAGAGCACAAAAGCAAACACATGAAGGATTTTTTCCCCTCTTTCCTTTCTTTTCTGCTTTGGAATAACTTAGCCAAAGATAAGTCCCAGCAGTTTAAAGCTTTTGAGAGTCTTCAGCAACAAACAAGTGAAATGTTATGAAAGCTAAATGGAACCCCTCCATGGTATTTGCACAGATGTGTATTAAAGCTGGTTTTGCATGAGTCAGAGCACAAGCTGAAGTGCATATTTATTGCAATATTTAGGGCTTTTAAATACATAATCCAGCAAATATTAGACATATCCAAGCTGAATCCATTCATCCAAATACGTTTGCAGTGGTGAAGAAGATCTCTCTTAAACAGAAACTAATATTTGCATTTAATTAATAGAAGGATAAGCAAGCTGCTCTATTTAAAAAAAAAACACTTTTCATTACTTTACTCCAATCAACGGAGTGTAAATATATTCCTTCTGGGACTGAATATTAGATTCAGAAGTCCTACTTACTTGGATTTCTGATTTCATGGCTTAGTGTCATCAGACGTTCAAGCTCTGAAATGAAGGACAATTTTCATGTTTTAATTTATTCTGACAGTCAAAATAAATGTTAAGAACAGTATATGACTCCATAAAGCACTAATAATCTTTTTTTTTTCCATTTCGGTGAAGAAGATACCTATGAAAAGTCAACTTTTGAAAATGAAAGAATATGAGAATAGACAGAGAGTTTGAAAAGGGCCGTATACCTCATGCAGAATGTCCCAGGTTCAATCCCTGTCATCTCCAAGACAGACTTGGGGAGACCCCTTTCCGAAATTATAGAATTATTGCAGAATTGTAGAGTTGGAAGGGACCACGAGGGTCATCTAGTCCAACCCTCTGCAATATTTTGCCCAATGTGGGGCTCGAACCCACAACCTTAAGATGAGAGTCTCATGCTCTACCAACTGAGCTATCCAGCCCTGGAGCTCTGCTGCCTGTCAGTGTCAAGAATACCGATCTAGATAGACCAAAGGTCTGACATGGTTTAAGACGGCTTTCTACATTTCTAAGTTCAGAATGAAATATACTAAAAGCAAAAGGTAAAATGTCCAAAACAAGCAGACCCAGGGGCTGAGTGAGACTGCCACCTTAGGCAGCCGATTTGGAGTGTCATGAAAGGGCAAGAGATTGGTGGTTATTTAAATTACTAGTGTTGTGTTTACTGCCAGGGAAGGGTGCTTATGAGATGTGCCAAAATAACACGACTGCCCTTTGTTAAGATGCACTTTGGGTACAATGAAGAAAGGGCATTTGCGGTTCCACCTCTGGATGAAAATTGTCTTGGGCCAGCCCTAATCCAACATCTACGTCTCTCATTTCTCTGCTGAGCTGACCCTGTTCCCTGGTGTCTCCTTTTGAAAGGGTCTCCTTTCAGCGTTTGCAAAAGAGAATGAAAGCTGGTGGACAGGAAATGTTTACAAAGATACACAGCAAATGTCAATAAATCCTCATAGAAATTGTGCAAAAGGCTAGGTTCTACATAGCTGGATACAGAGATTAGCCCTACTTAACACATTAGAATTGCTAATGAGAGCTCAGAAAATGGAACTAATTGCACAATGTGCAAATTTGCAAGTAACAAAGAAAAGGCAAAATTAGCAAGTGAAACATCAAGGAAACCCAACAGATAGTTCTATCTCATTTCTAAAATGTATTACATGCATCTAAGGCCCATTCATTTCAACGGTTTCCTAGTTTGTGGGGAAACATGAATCCTAGAGCTTGTGGGATAAATGTAATATAAATGTAATATGATCAATAAGGACTGGGCACCTTGGAATTGTATCCAGAAATAAGCCTATATAAATTATTATTATTATTACTATACGTCTTGCCTTGCAACCTGAGACATATGCCACATGTGTAGATATGTTTTATGTGTTACAAGTCTTTCATTACATGTGTTTTATTATGATGTTTTCATCATCTTTGCTTGTCTGTTAAAATCTGTTTGCTTGTTTGTTTTGTTTTGTTTGTTGGCTATAAACCGAACTTGGCTGAACTTTTGATTTGGACCTGATGCTAAAAAAATAATAGTAAATAGTTATAGTATTGTGGCTCTTGAGTTACTGGTGCTCTTGACGGTGCAGAGTGTCTTCCATAAGCTTAGGCTGGTGACCCAACTATTTGGACAGGGATAACATAGATAGTAATCTATGCTCTGAAAACCTCCAAGTTAAACTATTGCTTCGAAAACAGTTCGGAAGCTTCAGTTAGTGCATAATACAGCTACCCAACTATTGAGAGGTTCAAGGATCATACAATGGCAATCTTGTTACAACTACACTGGCTGCCTGTATGCTTCTGAGCCCAATTCAAAGTCCTGGCTTTGATCTATAAAGCTCTTTATGGCTTAGGACCCCAATATCTTCTGGAATGCCTCTCCACATTTAAACCTAACTGGACACTTAGATCGTCTTCTGAGGCCCTTTTCAAGCTCCCCTCTCTGAGGGAAGCTCAGAGGGTTGTAACAAGGGTCTTTTCAGTTGTGGCACCCTATCTGTGGAGTGTTCTCCCCAAGCAAGGTCTACCTTTTTTGACATCTTTTTGGCGTCAGGTTATCATTTTCCCCCAGGCTTTTGAAAGACTGAGATGTGAGATGATGCTGTTTTGTTCCTAATGTGCTGCCAAGCTTATTGTGGTTGTTATGGGGTTAGTCTGTCCCCCCCCCCCGTTTTTATGATATAATGTATTTATATTTATGTTTTTTAATATGTTGTAAGTTGCTTGGAGACCTTAGTGTACCAAGTGACCATCAAGTCAAATAATTAACAATCAAAGTAGTAGTAGAGCTGGAAAATGATATATCTCTATTGACTTTTCTATTGCTTAAGCAGTATTTAATTATATCAAACGTTTCTTGTTATTGTTGTTGTTTTAAAAAAGCCAAATTCTAGAATCTGAAAATTCAAAAAAATGTCTTTCCTTAAAAAAATTTAATGGCTATAAAAGTTTCATGTCCTCTTTGGCATAGAAACAATGAAGGGTGAGATGCATACATTTGATTTGGGGGTTAATAAAGTTCCCTGTTTAGCTTTATATAACTCTGCCATGCCCTATAAAGAATACAAGATTATTTTCTTACCTTCTTCATCCATAATAAAACTGGATGAAATACCATCAGTATCGCTAACAGCAACAGCATAGGTTCCCAAATCATCCTTGTCAGGTTTCATAAAATAAAGTTTAGAACTAAAAAATAAAGTGCAAAAAAGACAGGTGACTACTTGTTTGCTAAAAGTATCCCGATTTTCAAAGACTTCTTTAAAACAACTGTAGAACTTACTGTTCTCCAACTGTTTCAACTTTATATTTATCATGATCTTCTATCTCTTCATAGAATTTACTCCAAGCAAAATGAGAAGCATCTGAAATTTCTTTGCAGTCAAAGGCAAGGTAAATATTGCCTTCTTCATCCACACCTGCACTGATTTCCTTAGTGTCTGCAATATATGATTGCCATGAGAAATGTAATTATTAAGGGGATGTATGGGTTCTGTATGGAGGGGATGAATGTTGATTCAATTAAGAGAGTCTTAAAGTCTGGAATGTTCCTTTAATTAGTTCAATTTGCTGCTGAAGCCAGAGGGAAGAAGCAGCTTACAAACAGAGAGAGCAAACAAGTTTATTTTAAGAGCTCGCAACAGTGGGGAAATGGGGCCGTTGCAGAGATATTATTATACCATCTAGCATTCTCACACAGTGAAGTTTCAGAGACAGGACAGGGTTAGAATTGGGAGGTGGTTTCAGTGTGCCCATGAAAGTAGAAACCAACATAAAACGCAGGGTTTCAGTAAGAAGCAAAAATGGCTTTAGGGGTGCACTTTGACCTCTTTGGGTCTCAACCCTTTGGCTTTATAGTCAGATAGGAAAATAAACACATCTACCCCTTCCAGGGTTTAAAAAGTTACCCCGCATTGTAGATATTTGGGCATTTTAGAAGTATAGTGGTCAATATCATGTCTTCATACCTGGTCTAGCCTGGACCAGCACAGCTTCAGAAACATCCGAGGGCTTGCCTACACCAGCATCATTCACCGGACGAATACGAAATACGTAAGATCTGCCCTCATGTAATTCGGTGACCTTAAAAAAAATACAGACAATGAAGTGCTTTCTACTAACAAAAAGATGGGAGGGAATTAGAAGTGACAACATCCCAAATACCACAGCAAATAACTTCCAAGTACTTTCCTTCCTAAGGGACGCGGGTGTTGCTGTGGGTTAAACCACAGAGCCTAGGACTTGCCGATCAGAAGGTCGGCGGTTCGAATCCCCACAACGGGGTGAGCTCCTGTTGCTCGGTCCCTGCTCCTGCCAACCTAGCAGTTCAACAGCACGTCAAAGTGCAAGTAGATAAATAGGTACCGCTCCGGCGGGAAGGTAAACGGCGTTTCCGTGTGCTGCTCTGGTTCGCCAGAAGCGGCTTAGTCATGCTGGCCACATGACCCGGAAGCTGTACGCCGGCTCCCTCAGCCAATAAAGCGAGATGAGCGCCGCAACCCTAGAGTCGGCCACAACTGGACCTAATGGTCAGGGGTCCCTTTACCTTTACCTTTACCTTTACTCTCCTTCGTTGGAGGTGTTTAAGTAGAGGTTGGGTGGCTATCTGTCATGGACGCTTTAGTTGAGATTCCTGCAGTGCAGGGGGTTGGACTAGATGACCCGGGGGTCCCTTCCAACTCTAAGATTTTCTACCTTTTGATAACGGTGTGATGTTGGCTTCTCGTTGAATGTGAACCATTCTTCTCCTTCCTCCTCCTTGTAGTCCACAAAATATCCACTAACAGGGCTGCTGCCAATGTAAACAGGCGCTTTCCAGAGAATCACAAGGGATGTATCCCTAACCTCACAAAACGTAAGATCGTAGGGAGGGCCTAAAGAAGATGGATCATAAATGGATGTCAACAAGAGAAATGAGGGAGAAAGTCACTTCAGTTCACATTTAAAGGCAAACTTCACTCATTAGCACTTTTAAACATATGCATAAAAATGCATATATTGGTGAAAATAACATGCCGAAATGTATTATATTAGGGTGAATTGCTTTGCAAAAATTTGTATATCCACAATGGTTAGTTGATGTCTGTTTTTCACTCTTTAATAGGTTTTTTTGTTGTTGTTGGTTTTGTTTCTATTGCTGTAAACTGCTTTGACATATTCTTAATGATATAGTAGTATACAAATAATTTTATAAATAAATAAAATTACATACAAATGTGTCTATTGAGAGAAATTTGCACTAGGACGCTGCTGAAATTTCATGGGGACTTTAAAAAAAAAGAATCACAAATTAATGTGGAAATGTTGAGAACTGAAAATTGGAAGGAAAAAAATTCTCTTAGCAACAAGTTAAAAGAGCAGGCCTGGAAGGAGTAGGAACAAAGCCCATTGCTTCCTTCAACAATATTAAATTATGTCAGAATTGGATCCACAGTTCAGCCAAAATTCACAGATGGCAAAACTGGAGAGGCCATTTCATTGAATGTTCTCTAGGGGGGACCTGAAATTTCCTGACTGTTCAGGAGGAGCTGAAAAGAAGAGCATTTTCCAAACATTTGTCAGAAAACTCTTTACTGAGAAATGTCAGTCCAGTCGTAATTACCACCTAGCAAACAGGTTCATCCCCTGTTTGCCTGTACAAGAGTGATACATTAGAATTCAAGAGCATAGATTGCTAAATGGAATTTAGTAGTTTCAATCTGAGGTAAAAGGCATTTCAATGGGAGATTCCATGTGTTCAAACAGTATTTTGTGTGTGTGTGTGCATGCACAAATGCTTCCTTTAAATACAGTTTTAATTTATTACTGTTCTGATGTGCCAACCTGCTCCACTGAGCTTAGAACTAACTTTGTCACCGAATACAAATGATTTCATTAACACTTATATTGATTTTACTGTTTCCACATGAATAGCATGCACAAAATGGAAACTAGTATTCGCCACTGAAGTCCTTCAAGGCAGCAAGTAGTGTTTGAATTTCTGTTGCAAAGGGTTTGTATCAATCTGCTTGTGTTTTGTGAGGAAGTACTTTTCATGGTAATGGAACAACAACAAAAAGGCATGAAGTGGAAGGCTAGAGAAAAATTCAAGGAATGTAATGATATTTCCCTCGAATCCAGCTATAAGCAGGTGCCTTATTCATGCCTTTCTATGTTGAGAGGCTGAATCTTTACTTCATGATTTATTTTTCTATAGCTGTCATTGAGAGTTCCAGTGCAACGCAGCTTACCACATTAATATTTATATACCCAAATATTAAAATACTCTCATATAAAAAGAACCGCAGCAGGTTTGTGCCACAATTTCCCAATGTAATTCAAACTGCTTTATTCAAATAATGCAGGACAAGCCCATCATTTTCCTGCTTCTAGATGTGTCTATTAAAGACGAAGAGACTAGCCTGAAATTCTGCAAACATGTGCAGAGGCAATAATCCAAAGTGGAAGGTTATAGAAAGGACTCAAAGAAGTAAATAGTGATTCCCTTTTTCTCTCAGCATGATTATAGTCACTTTCTTGAGATTGGAATCTATTTATGATCAAAAGCTTGAGGCTGAAGATGTATTCCCTTCAAATGAAACAGACAAACAACATTACCTAGAATCTTCTGTTTGCTTTGATTAATTAGAGAGCTGGGCAAGCTATCTGAAGCTCACCTTGGAAGAACTTGGAAAGTTTCCAGGAATGGAGATAGGAAAATTTGGGTCATTTTTTGAATACTTTTGTTGTTTTTGTTGCAAATGCAGAAACCCTTGGCAGAATGATCATTTTCCTGAGCACTTGGGCCCTGATTCTCTGTTAGGCCAAGTGTCAGAGGAATATAGATGGGAAGAGAAAGGAGACCTTGGAAGGACTCCTTACGTGCCGCCATTGTTGCTGCTTCCCTCACTATTTGACAAATAAGGGAAGGAGTAATGGTGTTTCAGTGGGTAAGAAGGCTTTTTTTGGGGGGGGGGGACTGACAGGGATAGTATGAGGGCATTTTTCCGAGTCCTCAGATTGACTTTCAGAAACAAACTGAGATCTTTTAATTGATTGATTTTTTTAAAAAGATTGCATATCATTTCTGAGTTCATCTAAAGAAAGATTGGGGCCACTCACCCACCAGTAATTGAGCACACTTCTGACAATATTCTCTCCACTGATGAACTAACCACAGTTGATTCACAAAATGGAAGGGAACATAGGTGCCATCTCTAGGGGGCCCTGGGTGCCAATGCACCCACAAAAGTTTCACAGTGGGTGCCCAGCCGGGTGCCCTATGGTGTCACATGTGTGATGTCACATAGAACCCCAAGGCCTGACGGGGCTCGACGCAGCCACTGGAAGCTCTGACGGGGCCCCTCACACCATGTGATGTCATGTGTGTGCCATGTTGGGTTGTGTGTTGCCATGTGATGCCACGTATGTGGCATAGTACTACTACTACTAATAATAATTTATTATTTATACCCCGCCCATCTGGCTGGGTTTTTCCAGCCACTCTGGGCAGCTTCCAACAAAACACTAAAATACAATAACCTATTAAACCCCTAAACAGGGCTGCCTTTAGATGTCTTCTAAAAGTTTGGTAGTTATTTTTCTCTTTGACATCTGGTGGGAGGGCGTTCCACAGGGAGGGTGCCACTACAGCCCACAGAAGAAGAAGAAGAGTTTGGATTTGATATCCCGCTTTATCACTACCCTAAGGAGTCTCAAAGCGGCTAACAATCTCCTTTCCCTTCCTCCCTCACAACAAACACTCTGTGAGGTGAGTGAGGCTGAGAGACTTCAGAGAAGTGTGACTAGCCCAAGGTCACCCAGCAGCTGCATGTGGAGGAGCCGGGAATCGAACCCGGTTCTCCAGATTACGAGTCCACCGCTCTTAACCACTACACCACACTGGCTCCCACAGGCCTTGTATTGCTTTCCCCTGATAAACTGTGAAAACCTCTTCTTATGACAAACTGGAGTACTGTGCTTAAAAGTCAAACATATTAAATTACGACTGCCATTGTCAAGTGATAACGTTTGAACTGTCACTCATTTTCAAAAATGCATTCCCTTTATGAATGGCCAAACTACTTACCAGGTTCTGGCATTGTCCAAGCCTCACATTTGAAATGCTCGCTGGGTTCAGATGCCTGCCCTATGCCGGCGATATTTGCGGCAGCAATTTTGAATTCATAGTAGGCGTTTTCTGTCAAATCCTCTACCTTTGCAGAACAGTTGACATTAAAAACAAATTTAACATGGGTAATATTCACATGACCTTCTTAATAGAAGTAAGACATTCAAAATCTTCTCATTTATTTGGAGTTAACTTCCGAAGTGATTTAAGCTAAATAACCAAGTTAATTTAAAATGAAAAAATTGGGAGGAGAGCTCTTTAGCTATTTAAATATGGACAGGTTCCAAAAGAGAAGCAATGGCTGGTCTGTTTAAAATAAAATTTCTAATGGGAAACTGTCCTGTGGGACTTTTAATGGCTGTCTTTTTATAACATGAGATTTTGTTGGCAATAGATAACAGATGAAATAAGCTACTGTCAAGAATCATTCATCAATCAGCAACAAGTAACAGTAAGTTGTAGCTAGAAATCAACCACAGCTCAAACATGCTGGTCAATTGTTGCATCCTGTCTTCTGACTTCCAGGAGAAACAAAGCACAAGGCTGGGCTTATCTATACATGCAAACCAACACTTGCAGTTTGTTTCTCCCAATCCAACATGAGCAATAAATCATGAGCAGATCTTAGCTCATGCTGGTGGTTGTTTGGAGTAAAACAGACCCTAGTTGGCATGTACCACTAAGGCAAGACTTGTCCTTGTGTTTCTCCTGAAAGCAGGCGGGGCGAAGCGGAACAGAAGTGATTGACAGGCATGCACCAGCACACTGCTTGTTCATGGTAAACTATGGTTTATTTCTGACTATGGCTTACTGTTACAGTGATACCTCTGGTTAAGAACTTAATTCGTTCTGGAGGTCCGTTCTTAACCTGAAACTGTTCTTAACCTGAGGTACCACTTTAGCTAATGGGGCCTCCTGCTGCTGCTGCGCTGTTGCCACCGCCGCGCAATTTCTGTTCTCATCCTGAAGCAAAGTTCTTAACCCAAGGTACTATTTCTGGGTTAGCAGAGTCTGTAACCTGAAGCGTCTGTAACCTGAAGCATTTGTAACCTGAGATACCACTGTATGTGCAAACAGCATCACAGTCTCATCCTGTTCTGAACTTGTCTTTTCCTTTATGCCAGCATGAATAGACCACTATAGAAGCATTGTCTCAATGCAAGAGGAAGGGAGGGAAAACCCAGCCAGATGGGTGGGGTATAAATAATAATAAAAAAATTATTATTATTATTATCATCATCATCATCATCATCATCTTATCCACTGCATGCAACTGCACAACGTGCCCATACAGACAATATGTGCTACTGTTTCTTCTCTTCCAGGCCATATTTTGGAATGGTTTCATCACAGCCAAAATTACATCTTAAAAATAAAGTGATATTAAGTCTAAATATCAAAGTTTGAAAGCAATACTGACCGTATAAATCCTCTCTTTAATAAGAGAAGAGTTGACTTCATGCCAGTTGTGATGATGTAGCTCTCGTTTGTCTATGTAATAACCCAGAATATTTGACCCACCACTGAATCGTGGAAGCTTCCAGCCAATGGTCATTGAGTGACCATCACAGTTGAGAAGTGTGAGACCATAAGGAAAGGAGGGGCAGGCTTAAAGAAATCAAGCGCATGAAACATTATAACAACGTCCAAATTGAACATCTCGCATAATACTAAATTGCTTCTTTTCTATCTATCAGTTACGTTATGGTGAAATAATGGTTTTAGACTCAGCTAACAAATTTAAGAATATACATAATCCTATGCATGTCTACTCAGAAGCAAGTCTCATAGTGCTCATTGGGGTCTACCTTAAACACATTATAGGTAAAGAAAGGCTTAACTAAGGCATTATTTCCCATCATCCCTCAGTAATGCTCTTCCATGTTCCCTTGCAACAGCATTAACATAAAACAGCTAAGTTAATCATCTTCCTAATGTCCTAAAGACCCCAAAGATTAGATTGTTCAGAATGCAGGTGGTGCTGTGGACTAAACCACTGAGCCTAGGGCTTGCCAATTGGAAGGTTGGCAGTTCGAATCCCTGTGACGGGGTGAGCTCCCGTTGTTCAGTCCCAGCTCCTGCCCACCTAGCAGTTCGAAAGCAGGTCAAAGTGCAAGTAGATAAATAGGTACCACTCTGGTGGGAAGGTAAATGGCGTTTCCGTGTGCTGCTCTGGTTCACCAAAAGCAGCTTAGTCATGCTGGCCACATGACCCGGAAGCTGTCTGTGGACAAACGCCGCCTCCCTTGGCCTATAGAGTGAGATGAGCGTGCAAACCTCATGGTCATTGGTACCTTTACCTTTACCTTTACCTTTACCTTTACCTTTACCCTTACCCTTACCCTTCTTCTTCAGCAACTAAATTCCTTTAATGAGCCAAGCTAACAAGGGTTGTCCTATATTGCTGTGACTCCCCACATCCTACTGGAATGTGCCATGCCATTCCTCACAGGGAAACTTCTGATAATGTGAAACAGTCCCATGCTATTGGGACATGAAGCAGTGTGCTACATGTTATACAGCACATGACAGAGTCACTGCAGGGAGATGGCTCACCGCTTGGATCAGGTAACACATATGCCAGCCCTGTGACACTTGTGAGCACAAAAGAGTTCTCAGTGTGTTTTTGTTGCTGTTACTGAATCTAGATCATTACAAAACATCACTTACTGAGGGCTGCTTGTACTGTTATAGGTTCAGACTCCTGAGAATTTTCACTCATTCCCACTGCATTTGCAGCCTTCACACGAAAGACGTATTTCTCTCCTGTTGCTAAGCCATGCACAGCAAATCTGAAAGAAATGAGGATGGAGGCTGTTACAGGGATTGAATGGAAAGATGTATACGTGGACTATATTACATAATGAGAATTCCTGACCTATATTTGGATCTGATATCACACTTTATCACTACCCGAAGGAATCTCAAAGCGGCTACCATTCTCCTTTCCTTTCCTCCCCCACAACAAACACACTGCGAGGTGAGTGGGGCTGAGAGACTTCAGAGAAGTGTGACTAGCCCGAGGTCACCCAGCAGCTGCATGTGGAGGAGCGGAGACGCGAACCCAGTTCACCAGATTACGAGACTATCGCTCTTAACCACCACACCACACTGGCTCTCATCAAAAGTATGTTCTATGTGAGCAAATTTGACGCATTGTTGAATATAATTTCTGCAACATCTCCCTTCAAACGAGTTGGGAAAGATGTACACATTTGATTCTAGCCCTCTTCATAGTTCCTGTGCCCTCAGCGGTTCAGGGGCCGGTGGACCAGGAGAGGGCATTCTCTGGGGCAGCCCTTAAATTGTGGAATTCCCAACCTCACATGATGCATTTGGGACCTTCATTCCAAAGTTTCCATCATATGCCAAAGACAGATCTCTTTGCTTTTGGCACTTGAGGTATTTATATTATATGCCCTAGGGCCTAATGGTTAAAAGGAGGCAATAAATGCAGTTAAGTAACAATAATTACAACAATAACCACTTGTATGGTATATTCAGTGCTTTTCTTCTTGAAAAATGGTGCTTGAGTACTCCCAGAAAAAGCACTTATATTATTAAGCATCAAATTAATGGGGAAATGAAGAGTTTGGTATCTAGAGAATACAGTGGTACCTTGGGTTACATACGCTTCAGGTTACATACTCCGCTAACCCAGAAATAGTACCTTGGGTTAAGAACTTTGCTTCAGGATGAGAACAGAAATCGTACTCCGGCGGCGCGGCGGCAGCGGGAGACCCCATTAGCTAAAGTGGTGCTTCAAGTTAAGAACAGTTTCAGGTTAAGAGCAGACCTCCGGAACGAATTAAGTACTTAACCACTGTAATTTGAAGGTAGCTGAAGCTAAGAAGCTCTGAACCTAGTCAATGTCCATCCAAAATTCATGTAAGGCTCTGAAGTTGTTTGACCAAAGGGCAGATTTTTTAAGAAAGGTAATAAATCAAACCATCACAATTCCCTTTACCTGTTATAGCCTATGGGCTTATGGTTACAAGGTTCCCAGTGATTCGATCCTGCCACAGAACAGTCAATGTAGTAGCCAAACAGGTCTTCTTCATGTTTTGGCTTGTCCCACTGGACAACAACAGAGGTTTTTGTGTTTCTTGTTGCCACTATACGTCCCGGAGCAGAAGGAACAACTGTGCCACAAGAAGAGAAGGCTTCGTTTGTAACTTATTTGCATATCAACATATAGCCAGCTTACTCGCCAGCTCTTGGTACACCAACAAATAACTACTTAGCACACAATATCCCAGTTGCCGAACCAGCACAATACCAATGCAATACAGCCCAAAGCTAAGCACTTTTCAGTCCTAGCAATTTTAATGGGAAAGTGTGATGATGCCAATGTCTGGAAATAATGCGTTCAAGGTACCCTCTCAGCTTCCAAAGAGAGATTCTTTGTCCTAAAATTTGTACTGTTCTTGGAATTCAAAATGAGGCTATGGATGCTTACAGACTCTCTATTTTGGATGGGATTCAATCACATACCAGGAAATTCAGGCTGCACAATTAAAGATCTAGTGCTCTTTCAAAACAAACCTGCTTCCCCAAAATGTTAGACTTTTTGCAGTAAGGAAAGTAATGGGGAAATGCACTGAATAGTGTGGGGTAGCACTTGCTTGACAAACTGTGGTCTAATTTCCTACAAAAAAGAATCAGGATGAATGTTCATTAAGTAGCCTGTGTAGTCTAATCTCTCCATGTGCAAATTAGGATAAATGCTCAATAAACAGGCTGTCTGGAAGTGACCTATGTTGTGTTTACATGCTAATTTTGTGCCTATGCAGTCTTTGCTAATCAGAGTGGGTGATCAAACCCAGCAGCCACTGTTGACAAATGCTCAGAAGTTGATTACTATAAACCCCTAACCCCAATGGAATTATCTTTGATTGCTGTACTTCACTAGAACTTTTTAAAATGGGAAACTCATTTGCAGAAGAACATCTTGGCTCCTGAGCAATCAATTGGCCCAGGAACTTCCAAGATCAAAAAAAACCAGGTACGTCTCAAAGGCATACAGCATGTAAATGTGACCTTTAAAGTTATTCACGGGGAAAGGTATTTACAGAAATAAGCAAAATCTCAAAACAGGATGTACAATGTAATCCATACCGAGGTTTATTAACAAACTTCAAAGATACCCAAATTAAATTATGACACAAGGAACTTATTACTTTTCTTTTGGTTGTGGCACAATTGCTTGTAACAAAATGGGAAATGACTTGATCCCCTACACATCACACAATGGAAACAGAATATATGGACAAATGCTTTATCTGAGAAACTAAGAGAGTGGACGTGGGTGGTGCTGTGGGTTAAACCACAGAGCCTAGGGCTTGCCAATTAGAAGGTCGGCGGTTTGAATCCCCACGATGGGGTGAGCTCCTGTTGCTCGGTCCCTGCTCCTGCCAACCTAGCAGTTCGAAAGCAACTTAAAGTGCAAGTAGTTAAATAGGTACCGCTCTCGTGGGAAGGTAAATGTGCGCTGCTCTGGTTCGCCAGAAGCGGCTTAGTCATGCTGGCCACATGACCCAGAAGCTGTACGCCAGCTCCCTTGGCCAATATAGCGAGATGAGCGCCACAACCCCAGAGTCGTCCACTACTGGACCTAATGGTCAGGGGTACCTTTACCTTTAACTAAAAGAGTACATGCACAGGATGATGCATGTATCCGATGACTGGCACACACCAACTAGGCATATATATTTATGGGAAAATTTGAAACATTTGTCTACTGTTTTGAGCGTGAAGGGAAGATGGCTCTGCTTCTACATGGGGAAGACTGAGAGGAAAGGAGCTGCACCATGGCAACAGGTCCCGCCTCCTGAGTAGTAGCTCCCATCAATCTGGTGCCAATCTGCTGTCTCAACCATCACTGAAGCTGCCTTCGCTTGACCCACAGACCCGAAGCTGCATTGTGAGAATGTGTTTTCATCCCATAAAGGCTGTGTTGGATGCAAAATTTAGGAGTTTTCTCATGTTTATGCATTTGTTATTTTTTTATATCTGGCACGTCCTGCAATCAGGAGCACAAGACAGCTAACACTGCCTAAATAAAACAAAGATTCAATAAGAAAACCATAGTTAAAACCACAACATCATACTGTTCTCCTGACTTGGTTGGAAATAGAGATAAGCAGAATTCACTCATCGTAAATCATGTGTTTATTTCTTCTCGCTTGAAACTTTAACCGTGCTTAACTGTAGCTGAATCCTGCCCCACTAGCATTACAACAATTTTACTCTAGTTTGGTAGACAGAAACACCGATACAAATATACAAATGCTAAACAACAATGCTGATTAAATTGTCATATAACTCCTCTTAAAAAGGTAGGAAGGTGAGATAGACATCTCTCTCTCTCTCTCTCTCTCTCTCTCTCTCTGTGTGTGTGTGTGTGTGTGTGTTACTATAAGAAAGAAGTCAGACCTCAATTTCTATGCCTTATCAGAAGAATATAATTTGAAGAGCTCTAGTTGCTAGGCAATATCCAGTCCATGGGCATGACTATGGATTTTGGTTGAGAGAATGATGAGTTGCCTCACAGGATTCACAATCACCTTTTAAATTTTGCCATATACACGGTATGCACAGTCTTGAACTTGCTAGCAGAACTTTCTACTTTTCAGCGCCAACAACACCCCAATATCACTTTTTATTAACGTTTTAAAACCGACTCACCAATGGCCTCTTGTGCTTGAATAGGAGGTGTTATTTCAGAAGGATCGCTGATCCCATGCTTGTTTGCTGACAAAACTCGGAAAACATATGATTTCCCTTCAGCAAGGTCAAACACTGCATAGCGGGGAGATCTCACAGCCACTTGAGCGTTGACCCTCTGCCAGCTTCCACTGCCAACCACAGACTATTCGAAAATAAATAAATGAGTGTGATTATCACTACTTTGTAAAGGTTGTAGAAAAAGGTCCTTGAAATGCTTAGATCACTAAACCGTCAGCACAAATCCTTATTGTTTCCAGATAGTCAGCTGCCAACTATCCCGTTCGTTATCTGTCTAATATGGGATCACTAAGCATGGATTCATGCCAAATAGAATGTAACGTGAGCCTTTTCTTTTACCTTGCAGGAGCTTGTCTGTTTGAAGTCTGTCATCAATAAGGGAATTATAAAAGCAGAGAGATTTTGTTTGCGTGTGCATGCGTGTGTGTGTGTGTGTGTGTGTGTGAATAATAATAATCATCTTAAAACAGATGTTCCTCAAACAGGATTATTGTTTCCCAGAGTCTGGAAATTGTTTGCAGCAATCCGAGAATGAACTACTTTGTGAGCATTGCTCAGTCCTGATAACGGTGGTATTGCTACTGTTTTACTGTCCTTGTGATTATTAAGAATTGAGTAGGTTTATGCACATCCCTTGAAGTAAGCCCCACTGAACTCAATAGAGATTACTTCTGAGTAAATATATATAAAAGTTTGCCTTGCTAGTCACCTGAACTGGTTTTTTTCCTATTGCACTTAGTATTGTGCCATAAGGGGATCCTCTTTTCTCCTGAGTATGTTCACTGAAAATAGGAAAGCAGGCACCAAACCTTGCCAAGAAAAGCAACTGGCTGATTTTCCTTTGGGAAGCAGAAACACTCAGGGCAAGTGGTTAGTCAAGGCACTTCCCATCCTCACAAACTCTTTCTAACAGGAAGGCTAAGGTTTCACTGTTTCTCAGTGGTCCATCAAATACAACTCTCACTTGTTCTCAATCTAGACCAGGCCAACCAAGCCCTGAAAGAGCACTTTATTTTGAATGCATTGTGTTTTTCTGTTGGCCACGAGGAAAAAAATCAAAGTACCAAAACATTATATTTTTCTGGTCTTTTTCATCTTCCTCTTGCCTAGACTGGTTTGCTAATTCTATTGTTTTGCTTGCTGAAACTGGGGAAACTATCTGAAACGAAAGGGTATGTGGCCATGAAATGCCTTACAGCTGAATGCAACTATATGGCACAGTACCTTCTCAATGAAATATGATAATGGCTCTTTGCCACGGGGAACAGGTGGATCCCAGCTGAGTACGACATATGTTTTGCTGGTTTCTGAAGCGTGTACGTTGGTGGGAGGTCCTGGAATCTTAACATCGCCTAGAGGAGCAATAAACTCAGTAAGTGTTAAATGCCAGATTAACCTCCCAGGTCAGCGCTTATTTGAGAGCTTGTCTTCCTGAACTCCCTCGCTAGAGTGCATTGCTTGGCTATTAAGGGCTATAGTATCAGCTTTACAGTTTATTAAAGTTGCTTCATTTCTATTTTAAGACATCCAAGCAAGCCAATTAAAAGGGAAGGATTGATTTTTCACAGGCAGTGTTAAAAAAAACCCCACAAAAATCTGAAGAGGGAACAAAAAAAAAATCCATGTGTATTCGTCTCACAATATCTTTGTTCTACTTTGATCACGTTTGAATCACTTTAATCTGCTGTACTAAATGGCTTAATAAAGTCTTCATGCTTTATGCAGATGTGAGACAGAGCTGATCAAAGACAGGAGCCCAAAAGCTTCCGCCCCTGAAAAATGAGCAAGGAGGAAAATTCGCATGAAAGATCACAGCAATTAAGTATAAAACAGTACAGGTAAAGCACAGAGTAACGGAATAAATATCTCTTCTACACCAGGAATGATAACGAGAACCAATGACACATACAGCATAGGAATGGAGAAATGAGTCTCCAATCACCTTTGCCCTCAAATTCCCAACAAGCAACAATCTAAGACTTCCTAATTTGGGAAAACTGAGAGATGACAGAGATCAGAGTGACTGCCCACACTGCCTTAGTTTGCCCAATCCATGCTTGTAACTCAGCAAAAGTGTCTGATATTGTTCCCACCTCATTCCCTATCTTGTCCCGAAGGGTGCAACTAGAATTTAGGAAAGATGACTGAATGCTGCCAAAAATAGTAAACCCTTCCTCATCTTTCTCTTGCAATGCCTAGTAAGAAAAGGGTAAGATGCGACGTCATCACATTTCCTGTTTCCATGCCTCTGCATGCACAGAAATGGAGATGGGGAAAAGGGACTTAGGGTGCATTGCATATTTTGAATTTCCAAAATATAGGGTCATGGGCGGCAGAGGGAATCAACACCCAGATGGAATGCTCAAAGGATAAACACGCAAGGCTGTTTGTCCATTTCTACTGCATTTGCCCCTTTGTTTTTCTGGGCAAAGATATCACACCCCTCATTGTGACCATATCAATCAATCTTTATTACGGTCCAGAGACCCAGCAAATCGTTACAAAGCAATGCACAATTCAGACAGCCTACCTCCAGGTTAAATAAGCATTTTGTTCAGACTTAAAGATAGGAATCATTGGTTCTTGCAACCACCGATAAAAACTTCGCCAGTGCTAATGTTCTAACGTTTGTCCGGTCTTCCAATAGGAACCTGACATAGTGAGCCTCTGATTTTCCCGGGAAAGGTACCAGCAAGGGCAATATCAGTTCAGCCCTGGCTTGCTCATATTTCACACAGTGCAGCAAAATATGTTTTATAGAATTGATGTCTTGAGCACACGAGCAAAGCATTGTGACCATAGCTCCCGCTTCCTTTTGGAATCCAACCCCTGAGACATCCAACAGGAAGAAAGACCCCATCACACAGAGAGAAGACTTCTAGAGTGACTCCTATTAAAAATTGTAAGACACACAGGCCATGGTTTCCTTTGAGTGCATGAAGGTGCTCTGACCTTTAGCATCCCTGTTGTGAAAACCCTGCTTCAGTTTATGCCAGTCATGCCAATGAGAACTGCAATGGTTAAGTCCCAGACTTTTTCTATGCCTGTAGGCTCCACAGTCAAAGAAGCAGAAAGGAGTTGGTATCTTTGGACACTTGCAGAATTCAAGATTTGCAAAATCCAGTATAAACTGGCCTGATCTGTATCTCCCAGATTAGTGTGATCATAATATAGGTATACACTGGATTTTACAGTTCTCTGAATATTGCAAAATTTCAGCTCAAAAAAAATATGTTGGGATAAAATATATTTAGATGTGTGCATTTTGAGAGAAAACATGTTCAAAAATATGTTTATATATGTATGTATGTATGTATGTATGTATGTAATTATGCAGTTTTAAAAAAAGAAATCACACAAATTAATGTGGAAATAGAAGTGAATACATATGGAGGTGAAATGGGCTACAGTCACTAGAGGTTCCCTAGTATTTGAGAATTGCTACTAGAAACATGCCCCTGAAAGAAGGATCCCCTCCACAAAAATTCATGAAAACCCCTATTTCTAGCGCCTTGGATTCCCCCCCCCCCTTGTCTATCAGTGCTGCTACCCACATTTATGTGATTGGTTTTATGGACTAGAAATAAACTGGTCCATCTTTCCATACATCTGCTCTGTGAAGGCATACTGACACTCATTCGACAGACTTAAACTATTCTAACAGCCTGGAATTATAGTTCAGGTGGGGCAGGGGAAATGAATACTTAGCACCACCACAAACTTTAGTTCCCAGGATCCTTTGAGGGCAACCATGATAGTGGAAGTGGTGTCACAGATGTAGCCTGATAGTGCAGCAATTGCTTACGTACACAGGGCAACAGCAACCTACTTCCTTCAATATTCAGAGCTGCAGTGTTGCAAGAGGCCGGGTTCTTCTGCTTTCCACCCCCAAGATTATTGTCTATGTGTGTACAGGTGCATATATTTAGCTCTGCATTAAATAGGCAAGAGGAATGAGAGTTCATTGGGTGGGAAACACACAAAGACAAGCGGAGAAAAACTGAAAGACAACCAGGGGCAAGAAAATCCTAAATAAATGGCAGCAGGGGAGCAGAGGTACAAAGGCACAAATTACGAACATACCTTCAAGGTCATCTTGGTAGATTACAATCTGTTTGTCTCCTTCCAGATGAATAGCTGAAGATCAAAACAGACATTTATTCTTTTATTCAGCTCTGCATGCTATCTGAATGCTTTTGCATTTTCTAAAGATTACATTTATTCAAAAGCCACCATCATTTTTATGCACCACTATTTGCTAATACCGCTCAGAAGTGTGGAATTTTTTTACATCTGGAATCTCATTCAGGGTTACAATTGTTGTCTCCACTGGTCTGATTTTATTGATTCAGATGGGGGCTGGGATGACGAGGTATCACCACCAAAAATGAAGTAATATTGTTGTTGTTGTTGAGAGATGAGCAGCACACCCCATAGTCGCCTTTGACTGGACTTAACCGTCCAGGGGTCCTTTACCTTACCTTGTTGTTTTTAAAAAAGATGAAAGTAATGATCTGACTAGGAAATATCTTAGCCTCTCTTAAAATAGGAGACTTTGGGGTCATCCAATCAAATTAATAATTCAGAAGAAATGAAAATTAAGTACTTTAAAGAACATCATGTTGTTTATGGATTTTGTGGTAGTGTTGCTGTTAGATGTCTTTTTGAAAAAGCTTAGGGGGAGAAATGGAAGATAATTCTATCAGATTACAAGCCATAATAGCTAAGAACAGAATCCCATGTTATATATTATCATCATCATATTGGAATCACATATTATTATCAGATTTTGGGAGGACAAGCAACACGAAATGCCTGTCTTCAGCATGGATGGTTTGTTAGTCTACCATAGACATTGGGTTACCTGCTGTTAGAAATAGATGGCTACTTTGCCTGATTTAGGCAATTCTTGTGTACTCAGGTTTGAACTCAAGAGCACCTCCTTAGATAGCTTACATAAATTGCAAGATGAAGTTGAATTAGATTGTTGCAAAAATCATTTTTATAAGGACCTCAGCTTTGTCTAACTGATGAAAGCAATCACTGTAAAAGGGATTGAAGCTAGCAATTTATAACAGAGGTAAAGTTCTTCAAAATTAAACATGTCCTGTTAGTTATTGCTTTGTTATAAGTTAAATAGAAACTAAACAGAACAAAAGCTGTTTTAAGAACCCCAGACAAATGAAAATCACTCCTTGCTGTCTGGGCAAGAGTTAAGCATCATCCATAGAGGAATCTACAAATGATATCAGATTAGTTATATTTTCACTTGAAATAATCAAGAGGAGTTTCAAAGGCTTTTAAAGATGCAGAGGGAAGAGGCAGGAGAAAGAGCTTACTGGTGGTAGAAAACTATTCTGATGTACGGGTTGAGTACTATATCTGAAAAATCAATTTTGAATGTTGAAATAATACAAATAAAAGGAACCCATTTGGATCATAGAGTGCACCTTTTAATTATGACAGCAAGAAAGCCAAGCATATCAAGGTTGGTGCTCCCTTGTGTTATTCTTATCTAGTGAAGATAATAGGTGGAACAGACCTCTCCACTCCCCCACAAAAAAAATCTCCTTCTCCTTTTTTTTTAAAAAAAAAACACCTTTCAAATATTAAGTTACAATGCAATTCTTTTTTTTTTTTACTTTATGAAGTAACTATTTTATTAAGGATTTTCTTGTTTTACAGAAGTAAGTGTAATGCCTCGTATTTTTTTCCCCCATGTAACATTTTTACAAATCCGTTTCATTTGTTGAGGCATTAGGGGGAGAAGAAAAAAAGGAAAAAAGAAGGGGGTGGAGAGAGATAAGATGGATGGGGGTGGGGTCGGGTGGCGGTGTTTCTATTATGTTTAATGTATGTAGAGTTTGGTTACAATGCAATTCTCAACATTTTTATACAAGCAGAAGTCCCTCTGAAATCAGTGGGACATACCTCTTAGTAAATATGTGTAAGGTTGCAGCTTGAATAAATGCTGAAGAGTTCTTTCGTTCACATGTTACTTACTTTGCAATCTTTCCAAGTCAACTGGGTCAAGAGCTGCCACTGCTTCAGAGATTCTAGATGGCCTGCTGATGCCAGCCTGGTTGACTGCCCTCACACGGAATGTGTAGGAACGCCCTTCAAACAGCCCAGTCACTGGATATTTGCAGATTTTAACAGGAGCATCATTGCACTGAACCCAGTTTTCAGTACCCACTTCACATCTGGGTTTTCGAAAGGGACAAAAAGACAAGGGGAAGAAAAAGCTTTCCAACATTTCGTAACAGCCAGCTAATGCCGAAGACAAGATACTTCTCTGTGACAAGGATCCTACACTGCTCCAGGAACGTGAAACAAAGTGGAATGGCAAAACCATGCATAAAATTCCTCTTATGTGGTTTATTAGGGTTGTTGAAGACATGTATGTTATTTCTTGCCATACACATCCATGCTGAATGTGGAGTCTGGTCAGTGACTTTAGAAACATTGGGTGGCAAAGCAGGGTTCTGCTGTAAGTTAAGGTACTAATGGAGTGTAGTGGTAAAATACTTATAAGAGTCCATGGAGCTGACACACATTCAGATGTGATTTATCATAGCATTGTAGAGTTAGAAGAGACCACATGGGTCAACTAGTCCAATGAAGGAATTTTTTGCCCAAGGTGGGGCTTGAACTAGCACCCTAAGATTAAGAGTTTCATGCTGAGCTTTCCCAGATGGCTATCCCATGTATCTGCTTGTGTGACCCAGCTCAAATAAGGCTGGAACTGAGGCTGGAGACTTGGTGACAAAATCATAAACCCCACACAGAAACAGGAGCAATAAAAGAGACCCGAATGATACTGCTCTTAATTCACCATAGCAAGTAAAAACCAGTGTTACACTCCTTAATCATTGTTTATGGGTTTGATGTACAAAAGAAACAGCAACCCCACCAGACATATACCTGTCCACAAAATAGCCAATAACTGGAGCTTCATGGGTTGTATTAGGTGGTTTCCAAGTAACAATAACATAATCTCTGTTGGCATCATAACATTTCACATCCATTGGTGCTCCTGGTGCCCCCATTACCAGGGCATCAGCATCTGAAACCAAGCAAAAAATGTAGATTTAATGACATCTGAGCCATAATTCAGTTGATATTCTCAGCGGGTGCGTGTATATGAAACCCATGAGCAATGTTTCTGTTAGTTTGCTAATGTGGATATAAATTACCATATTTATGAAATGTGTTTGCGATATTTATGACTATGTTATACCTATTGCTTTGTTTCCTATTCTTGTGAATTGCTTTGAGCATTGTTTGGAAAATAAACTTGATGATGATGATTCTGGGTTTCAATTAAACTAAACCGGGGGGTGGGAGGCATAAATTTGGTGGCTTTAAAAAGAAGTTCAGCTCTAAACCTGAGGAACTGACATTGCGACAATAAGCTATGTGTCATAAATCATTCGTGCAAAAAAGGAAGAAGTGGCATTTCATGCCATGATAGATCCAGCTGTATAAAGGGATTTTATATAGAGGAAAATATGTCCCTCCAGAACATACATTGTGTGTGCATTAAGGAAAGAGTATGCAAAAAAGCAACATGACACTATGGTTCGGCCTTAAAGAATATCCAGTTTGCGTGACCAGGCCGTGACAGCCCCAGCCCCCAGGGATCATAAGGAAGGACTAAAGACTCTGACGTGTTATGGAATTAAAATTAGGCCACAACTTTATTAAACTTCCAGATGTAGACCTTGGCTTAGGCCTTGGGCATGTATCCCTCCCAGCCCCCCAGCCGGAGGAACTGGGGCTCCTCAGGGTAAATGGGATATGGGGGTGCACTGCGAGATGTATGTGTATGCAGGAAGCCCAGCCCATACCCCCGCACGCAGGGTAGTTCACTGACAACCTTTCGGTGTATGGCCAGTGACACCCATATATATATATATATATAAAACCCCTTTTGAGAGGGGACCCTGGAATCACCGCCGCAGGGGAGTGAGTCACCAGTTCACGCCCCCCCCCATAGGGAAGGAAAGACTAAAGGATTCCACCCAAGGCCATAAACCACCAAAGTTGTGACGAATTGCTATGGGGAAGACAAAACCTGCCAATGCAGGAAAATTTCTTCCTGGTCCCTCAACAGCAACCAGTCAAAGACCGTAGCAGTGCCCGCTAAACAGGAAGAAAAAGTTAATCTGAAAACAAGAAAACATTAAACTAAGGGAGGGGAGGGTGGGTGAATCTCCAGAGCCAACTGCCTGGCTACTGTTGGCTCCACCCCCTATATATAAATGGGTCTGGTCCCAGCTCCCAGCAATGAAACTTGACTACTGAGGCTGGGCATAAACCTCCAAATAATAACACTGAGAGGCAGACCAGCCCCTGTTTGCCAGGAAGTTCCCTGGGAACTGTAACAATGTGCGCAATCCCACAAAGGACACCCACAGTGTAAAGTGTGAGTGCTCATTCTGGATGTTATAGCTAATCTGTTGAAATACTGACTCTTTGAGAATATTTTCCTCTCAAGATTGTTTTTTATCTTACCAATGTTGGGCTTCTTACCCAAAATGTGGATTGGCTGCCCTTTCATAACTGTCTTAATTTCAATAATGTTCACTTTTCTTTGGGAATTATTATTTTTTAAATGAAAATAAACATCTTCAACACCCACGTTGCCCTGAAGCCCCCTTAGTTCAGAGATTCGTTCATTGGGGAGCATGTATTAGAACAAGAATCTGTTGACCTCCAGATCTTGTTGGACTCCAACTCCCATCAGCCTCAGTATAGCCAGTGCCAAGGCATGATGGGAGTTGGAGTCTGGGGGGCCGCAGGTTCCATCTCCCTGTATCAGAGCTGGCCACTATGAACATTCAACTTTCACCTTCTGCCATCTTGTCTTCTCTGAGGTGGAATTTTCCATGTAAGTTTATGAGCAAAGAATATACTGGAGAAACAAAAGTATGGCTCCAGTGAAGGGAAAAACAAAAACAGAAAATGGAGAGCTAGGAAGTTTTATGAGATGACATTGGTACTTGTTTCAGAGAGAGAAATGGTAAATCTTTGCCCTGCCCCCAACACCAAATGGCACAGAAGATTTGTATGTAAAAAAACCAAAACCCACAGTATTTCTAAGGCTGGGAGTCAGAGTGAACTTCCTTGGAAGTAAATTCTACTGCAATCATTTATACTTGCAAGAAAATAAGTTTATTATCAGAGCTATTCTGTCACAGAGTATAATGCAGCGTAGCTCGCCTGCTTATAGCAGAGGATTTCTCCCGAAGTATTTAATGCTACACATAACAGAAATGTGCTCATTTAAAAGAAGGAATTTAAAATGGAGCCCCTTCCTCTATGGACTCACATAATCTTATTCTGACTTGCCAGGGGGAATTGTGAACGCAAATGTGAGGTCAAATAGTGACCTTCATTCTATCTTAATGTATTCCTCTCCTTTTCATTTACACATCTGATTTAGGCAACCCCTTTTTCTTTTCTCCCTCAGGCATTACATGAATTGAATCGAATTCTCCTGTACATGCGAGCACCATGGTGTGGACACACAAGTGTTGCATCCATGCTCTGGCATGATAGTCAGCCATAACAAGCATAACCCCTGAAAGAGAGTGTCTCTAAGGGACATGTTTCCTAATTTCCCATGGTGATGACATCTGGTAAAGATAGACTGTTGTGGCCTACCTCCCCCCAATCCCAGTTCTGATGATCAGACATGCAGAACAAAGCATAATCGTTCCATATACCAAATAACACCTTGCCAACAAAGGTCCGCATAGTTAAAGCTCTGGTTTTCCAAGTAGTGATGTATGGAAGTGAGAGCTGGACCATAAAGAAGGCTGATCGCTGAATAATTGATGCTTTGGAATTATGGTGCTGGAGGAGACTCTTGAGAGTCCCATGGACTGCAAGAAGATCAAACCTCTCCATTCTTAAGGAAATCAGCCCTGAGTGCTCACTGGAAGGACAGATCCTGAAGCTGAGGCTCCAATACTTTGGCTACCTCATGAGAAGAGAAGACCCCTGGAAAAGACCCTGATGTTGGGAAAGATTGAGGGCACAAGGAGAAGGGGACAACAGAGGACGAGATGGTTGGACAGTGTTCTCGAAGCTACCAGCATGAGTTTGACCAAGCTGCAGGAGGCAGTGGAAGACAGGAGTGACTGGCGTGCTCTGGTCCATGGGGTAATGAAGAGTCGTACACGACTAAACGACTAAACAACAACAACAACAACAATACCAAAGAACACCATACCTCTCACAAACAGAAATGCACTGTATTCACTCACTCCTCCTTTCGAAACTAAACGCAACGTATATAAGCCTTCGTCATCCTTGTTCAGGTGGGTAAAGGACAGTGCTGCCCGGCCATCTCCAAAGAATGTTTTTGTCCATTTGGAATCTTTCACAAGCACATCTGGAACAGATTTGCACATATCATCAGGTTAGCAGTGACTGACTGACCCTGATCCTACTCTGACCTGTGCTGAATCATTGAGATAGTCATTTTAGGGCAAATGTATTCAGGAGAAACTTTACACCGTATCTTTTAAAGTTCTATCTTTAAAGAACCAAACTGTCAACCTTCAAATTCATGCCACCTCCAATTATATAAAGATATGCATATTCTATTTTTGCACTACTCAAGACTGTCCCTCAGAGACCTGGTGACTAGATGTCTCAACGCTGCCATTTTAAACAAATCATCTCACCTGGACCCCATTCCCCTCACCCAAAAAACCACGAACCCTTTTGAAGCAGTGTCATGAAAACATAATCTAGGGAACGATCCAGTCAAAGTTACGGTAAGTATTTTAAGACCTATTGATTTCAACAGCAGCGAGTTAAGCACAGGCTTTGCTCTCCCACATAAATCAATGGGATTTAAATATGCTTAACTTTGGCTGGATTGCACACACCTAATCAAGAGTTATCACTCTGTGTATGCACTTTTGATCCTTTTAAATAAACTTCTCTATCCAAGGCATGTGTCAGATTAAATTGGAAGGGGGGGAAATGACTTAAGGCCAGATTTCAGTTTAATCTGAAGTCTGCTATAAATACACACTTAATTTAAAATCTTGAGGGCATTCCTGCTGAGCAGTGAATCAAATTAAGTTTGAATTTCTCACAGGTGAGAGGTTGTGACTCAAAATTAATGTAAATTAATCAGTATGACTAGTGCAATTGATGCAATGAAATGTGTAGAATATTTTATCATGGCTAAAGAAGATCCCACCGATTCCAGTTCTTACCTCTTACCTTAATAATTGATTTGGCTACTTTTAGGGCAAGGGGGTTGTTTAGCTTCCTGAGAACTGTTCTATACAGATATAGTCTAATCAATAAGGTCTTGTTAGATCTCTGCACGAGTTGTGTCTGGAAATACACAGACGACTTTCAAAAGTCAGAATATTTTAGACTGTGCAATTAACTGTGCAATTAACTGTGCAATTAACACCTATGCAATTAAGTGATTGTAATGTCATTTGTGCCTTGTGCTGGGGCCAGGAGGTGGTGTTGGAGAACTCCCACAGAGTAGTGTTGGGAAACAAAACTTTCATACCAAGGCCACCTTGAGTGTCCCAACTGAGGACTTCATGGCTTCCGTGACAACCAGTGGCCATCTCAATATATCATTGGCTGAAAGCATGTTGTAGGTCATATCCTGGATCCATACCCTCTGACATTTCTCCAATGAAAATAGGGATGTCCTATTACATTATTATTATTATTATTATTATTATTATTATTATTATTATTGCTATTACATCCCGCTCATCTGACTGGGTTGCCCCAGCCACTCTGGGCAGCTTCCAACATATACTGTATAAAAACCACGATGCCAATTTTACACCTCAAAATCAGGACATGTCGTGAATTTTCCTGTTGTATGGCAAGCCTACTTTTGCCAAGTATTTTATAATGGAAATCCTGTAATGTTAATCAGCAGCAGAAATCTGAAATGTGTCTCTTTGTACTTCCAGAATGTGTGAATCATAAACAGGATCTGACTTAACTGATTTTTATACATACTTCATTCCCCAGAGTTTAATAGCCAATAAATGCTTTAAACTATAATAATTTGGAGCAAGCAGAAAATTCCCATGAGTCCAATTAGAGGAAGTAAACTGCGGAAGTCCACCTTATCCGTTCGTATAATTAATTCAGGGGAAAAAAGATGAGGAGGGAAAGATTTTAATACTGAGAAAAATGAAACAATTTGTACAAGGGAGTGAACGCAAACCCAGACTTATCTATGCTGAGTGTGCTAAAAATCAGTACTTTTTAAAGAAAAATATTCATCAGTCCATTAGTAACGCCCTTACCCAAGAGGGCTTTTACCATTGGCTTTCTAGACTAATGCTATTAATTCACAGTACACTGAAGATTTGCAGAGAGATAGCAGTCACTATCAACATGTCTGGTGCTCTTGAGGGATCTACCCAAGGACAACCACAGAGTACGTTTCTGACTGACATCACACAATATTATACCCCTTGAAAAATTCAAAATAAAACTGCGTTCCCAGTTGCAGTGCCCCCTCCCCTGGCAGCGACTAAAGTGAAGTGGGATAAAATAACTCAAGCAAACAACAATGTGGATTTTAAAACGGCCACAACTTTAAGGCCGCAACCACCGCCCACCTGAGAAAAAGGTGAGCGGCCATTTAAGAGCAGCCACATGTTTCACCTGAAGAAAGAAAAACTTACCATCTCTGTACCACTCAGCACGAGGTCGAAGGCGATTCAGCTCTGGTGTGATCAGCAGATCACACCTGAGGGTCAACGTTTCCCCTTCCACACCAAAGGTGACACCAAACCTCTCCAAGAACTGAACATCAAAATGGGAGAAGCAGATGTCCAGGGGCATGGGCACTGTAAGCAAAACAAGAATGAAGCTAGCGTGAAATACAGTAATAGAGGGAGAAAAAACAAGATAGAGAAATGCATAACCCCAGCAAGGCATCAAACATAGGACAGTTTAGACTTTCCCTCAGGAATTGATCATTTGGTGAGCTTGTTTTGGGAAGGAGTTCCACAGACCAGGAGCACTGCTTAGAACAGGGTTTCCCAAACTTGGGTCGCCAACTGTTTTTGGACTACAACTCCTATCATCCCTAGCTAGCAGGCCCAGTGGTCAGGGATGATGGGAAATGTAGTCCAAAAACAGCTAGAGACCCAAGTTTGGGAAACCTTGGCTTAGAAGGTCCTGCTATAGCATGTTCTCCTTAATGGAGAGCACGTGTTGCGGTGGGAGCTTACAGGACACCCCACTGTTACTGGGTGGGTAAAATTGAGTTGGCCACCGTTGTGATTGGGCCCCCCTTGTTGTGGGGGAGATTTTGATGTTGCCATTTTCTGATTGACAGCTAGAAATGTTAAAACCCCTGCGCGCAGTGGATTGCCCTCCCACTGCTGCACGCATCGCTGCACGCATCGGATTGCCCGCCCAGCCTCCCTATATTTAGGGTTTGTTCATGCTGACCTTGCTATGCCTGTCATGGGGTCATCTGCTTTTGGGGCAGGGGCACGGTAGGAATTTTGTCCATTTGGCTGATTGGCTGGTGCCATTTGGTTTTTGCCTACTGCATAGCAAATCGTCACAACTTGTAAGGTTGCGGTTAGGCATTGGTTTTAGGATTTGGTTGGTAGAGGGGCATGGATTGGCTGTGCCTGCCCCTCTAATGCTGCTGCTGCAAGGGAATTCCGTTAAAGGAACCCAGGGGCTCGCCATGCTTTTGTCCGAACCCCTGACAAGGGGCTAGGGCCACGCAAGAGCCCCTGGGAGCATTTGGGGAGAGGTGAGGGAAGGTCCCCTTCTCCATCGCTCTCCCCAAAATGTCCTCTCTTTCTGACTTTCGCGGTCGTGCGAAATGTCAGTCTGTCCCCATGCGGGGTCAGATAGTCGTAACCAATGCCTAAGCAACCACTCACATTTTTTGTATTTTAATAATGTTGTGGCCAAAATTATGCCAAAACCCTTAAACTAAAATTATGTGTGAATTGTGTTTTATTTGGGGTGGCTTGGGGACCTCGACACGCAACAGCCCCAGCAAATGTTATTTGGCACCCACAAGAAGTCCTCTCCTAACGGTGCAAAGAGCTCATTGAGATTGAGGTGTTTCTAAGATAGGCAGGCCCCAGGCTGGTCAGAGCTGTATAGGTTAAAACTGCCAACTTAAATTGTGCCCAATAGCAGACTTGAAGCAAAATTTATTATGATTCTGGGGAAATGTACTATGGAGACTCCTGACACCCATACGACTACATCAAATTACTAAGCGGACTTACAGGTAATAGGAAGAACTCCAGCAGGATAAGGCTCCTCATCGCCTCTGAACCCTGAAAGGAAGGGACAAACAGTTCTGACACGGGCAACTTAAGCTTCATTGAGGGTATTTCTCTTTGGACTGTCTCTGTAGCTTACTTACTCCTCACGACGACAGCAGCACTGGTGGATGCCTGTCCATGCACATTTGTCGCCACAGCGGTGTAGGTAGCGGTGTCATCATAGTGAGCTCTAAAAAAGGTCAGAGGGAAAGATGCATACAAGTTCACAGTACTTACAAAACCTTTTTACTAGACTGCCAGAGATTGCCAGAGGAGGGAGAACTGGCTCAGCCCCTTTTCCACAGACACTTCCTGTTTCAACTCACAAGGCAAAATGGGACGCACCACCCCTGTGTGTGTTTATCAGAGAAATAGAGTGGTGGTGGCCCTGCACACTTTTGGTATTAAATCCACGCAATGTGGGTTCCAGCACCTCCCACCACTGGCATATGGTCCCCAAAAGCTTTTCCACAAAGGGATGCAGCCCTCAGGTTGAAAAACAACCTCCTACCCCTGAAATACAGGTTCAGGTTCAAAACTGCAGCAAGTAGTCTGATATTACTCATTTAGCAGAAACCAGACTTTCTACTTCCACAGATGAATTTGACCCAAGTAATGCCATAAAGTAAATGCCATTGGGCCCATCACCTCCTGGCAAATAGAAGGGGAAGAAATGGAGGCAGTGAGAGATTTTACTTTCTTGGGCTCTATGATCACTGCAGATGGTGACAGCAGTCACGAAATTAAAAGACGCCTGCTCCTTGGGAGAAAGGCGATGGCAAACCTAGACAGCATCTTAATAAGCAGAGACATCACCTTACCAACAAAGGTCCGCATAGTTAAAGCCATGGTTTTCCCAGTAGTGATGTATGGAAGTGAGAGCTGGACCATAAAAAAGCCTGATCGCCGAAGAATTGATGCTTTTGAATTATGGTGCTGGAGGAGACTCTTGAGAGTTTCATGGACTGCAATAAGATCAAACGTATCCATTCTTAAGGAAATCAGCCCTGAGTGCTCACTGGAAGGACAGGTCATGAAGCTGAGGCTCCAATACTTTGGCCACCTCATGAGAAGAGAAGACTCCCTGGAAAAGAGCCTGATGCTGGGAAAGATGGAGGGCACAAGGAGAAGGGGACGACAGAGGACGAGATGGTTGGACAGTGTTCTTGAAGCTACAAACATGAGCCTGACCAAACTGCGGGAGGTGGTGGAAGACAGGAGTGCCTGGCATGCTCTGGTCCATGGAGTCACGAAGAGTCGGACACAACTAAACGACTAAACAACAACAACAATGCCATAAAGATGGGCAGAGAAGGAATCAAACTCTTTGGAACATGTTTTAAAATTGCACTTCCACTGAGTCTTCAGGTCCCAGTGTCCTGCAAGAAACGTTTTTTAAAAACTGCAATACTTTTGTGATGCACTTGAGAATATGTGCTTGGATGCTTCTGTGTAAAATCCAGGTATATCCTAACATGTTCACTAGGCAAATTTCCTCCTAAGTGTCAGGAGACCACATTTTGAACATCTGTGCCTTTAAAGAGGAAGTTTCAGATTTCCTCTCCAAAGATCATATTGAGATTAGATAGATATATTATAGATAAGGAAAGGTGAAAAAAGAGGATATAACTATCGCTTTCACATTTGCTTCTGATTTGACAGACGATAACTGACACAGAGAGTTGGGATGCCCGGTTAGCTTTTGTGGTGTGAAGTGGACCTTTTCGCGAAAGCAACAATTTCACAGCCTTGCTTTGCGTGAGGAGAAGGGAGAGGAGGGAATGAAGAGGAAAAATAAAGTGAAGATCTGCAATCAGAGCACTTCCTTTGGTCTGTGACATCACTGAAAGGTGAAATGTTCACTACTTCATTTTGATAACTCGCTTATGAATGACAGTAAACTCTGGAATCACTTTACAGTAGTCATATCTAAGGGTTGTAGCTCCTCCTAGAGGCAGATCATTGCTCATGCATTGCAAAAACTCGAGGCAAATCGGTGGAATTTAATAGTCACAGAGACTTGAAAATTGTGTGTTATATTGCAAAAAGTGAATTATAGTCATTAGCAAAAAACAAACAAAAAGAAAAACAAGACTGTACTGTGGATGCAATGGATACTATTTATTTTATTATCCTACTTTTCTTTCTAAGGGAACTCAAAGCAGCTAATCTAAAACGAAATTTCTGCTCACTTCTGATAAATGTCTATTCCTTCAAATAATTTTTGAAAGGGCAAACTATACTCAGAATTGTTTCTGGACTTCTGTAAAGTTGAAATGAACAGCCAAAATTCAGTACCTATAGATTGGATCAAAAGGTGCCTGATAACAGTTTATTTCTGAAGAGTAAAGGGAAGCCTTTTTACTGTTGCTGTCACCACTAGATCCCTATCTTCATCATCACCACTAGATCCTTATCTATATTTTGCACACCTGTGGAAACTCTCTGTGGAAATAGCAACAGCCTTGCTAATAAAGGAAACACAGATCATGCACTGACTGTACCTAGACAATAACAAGGTTGTTGATGCTGTCTTCGCATGACAAATAGTAAAGAAATGTGAGTTATCTTTTATGAGCACAACTTTGTTGGGAAAATATTTACTGACAGTTCCTATTTGGGCATTAGCACTTTGCCTGAGAGGTTAGCAAACGGAAGGGAAGGTGAATCGTACCCAGCTTCGATGAGGCCCTAAGGTACTGAAGGTAATGGGGCCCTTTATATGTCCAGCTGTCCTTTGTCAACAACAATCTGTCATTGTTTTTTGTGTTGAATATATGCTATATGCGGCGCCCATTACTTACATCATAGGAGCCTACACAACACTGTTACTGTACGTAGGTTTTGTTTTATTTTATTTGTTTTTTATCTTATATTTTGGAAATGTACATCCAGTTTTTCCCCTTTAATTTTTTTGGGGGGCCCCAAGAGAGTGGGGCCCTAAGCTATAGCTTGTTTAGCTTATACGTAAATCCGGCACTGATTGTACCCTCGTATCCATTTGCCTGGTCCTCAAACATGAGGCCTCCTCCAAAAAAGAGCAAAGGAGCACGACCCCTCCCCATCTGATCTCTACATTGCCAATGATCCTGAGGAACCAATGAATTGGGACCTCCCTCCACCAGGATTAGAGGACCCCACACCAGCTGTCTGGGTTCCTGGCCAGCTCCCTCATCTCCCCAGGCGGGTTCATGTGGGTGGCAGCAGTTCATGAGGAACTGGGGTCTTAAGCAGTCAATTAAGGTATTGCCACAGTAGATGATACAGCAGAAACCACAGAATAATATGCAGGGGAGATCTGAAATTGATTAATTTTATGAATTCAAAGGTAGAGGATATGAAATCATACTTCAGGGATGGGGAACTTATAGCCTCCATAGTGTATTGGACTATAACTCCCATCATCCATGATGGTCATTCTAGTTGGAGCTGATGGGAACTGGAGTACAACAACCAAGCCTCATCTTACTGTTAGGCAGAGTGATATTGCCACTTCTGGTCTGTGGCTTGGAGTGTCATGAAAGGGCAGTAAACGACTAGTTATTTAAATTTTTTGGTTGTATTTTGATTCCCAGGGAAGGAGAGTTGTCCTTACGAGATGTTTTGCCTCAAGTACCAAAATAATTTGACCAGCTTTTGGTACTACATATACTGAGTACACTTGGTACTGGGCACCATTTGCTCTTTTGCCTCAGGCAGAAGAAAAATCTTGCACGGTCACAGGTTCTTCATATCTGGATAAATGCTACGCATAAGTGAAATCTCACATATGGTGCACAATTTAATAAATTGGGATCTCAGCTGCTGGTTTCAATAGGAAGTAGAAACACTGACCAATTGAAAAGCAGTGAATGGGAAAGAGATGCCATTTTGTTTTGCTGCTTATTCCAGGAAAAGGAATATGAAAGGCCACAGTATATGAAAATAAACGCTGCAGCACCTAGCTGTTGAAACAAACACACAGAGAGACAACCACACAGAGTGAGCTGATGGATCCAAAATGGGGGGGGGGGGGGAGAGAGAGACTAGATTTTGGTGCAGATGTCAGAGTCCTCTGAGACAGGCAAATGGACAGATGGAAGAGTGTCCAATTGCAACTTTAAAAAAAATGATAGGGTGATGCCACATCTTTGGCTCCTCAAGAATTTTTCCACTGGAGCCAAGGAGCACCCAGTATATTCATAGGAATAAATGTCACACTTGCATCAGAAGGTAAAGTTCTCTGCATAAGCTTCAGAGAACCACTAAGATGACAGCCAAGAAATTCCTAAGCTGCTTGAAGTGGCCAAGTATCGGATGACTAGAAGCTCAGCATATTGGCATGAACAGCTGAGAAGAATACTGAAATAGGCGGAGAATCTTAGCTCTTCTATAGCCCCACCACCACCCAAAAATGACACTAGAGATGTCTGCAACTTTCCAGGATATATCTTCAAATCTTAATAAGACCCCACCTCCTCTGGACTACTTTTCACAAAAAAATGTAAACAGATGCAAGATCAGATAATGAATCTCCTTCATAACTGTGGTCTTCATTCACTAATTATGTGGGGTTGTTATTTTTCCAAAAAAAACCCCAAATGTTTTAAATCAGGCAAGGCCAAACTTGGCCCTCCAGATGTTTTGGAACCACAACTCCCATCATCCCTGACCACTGGTCCTGTTAGCTAGGGATGATGGGAGTTGTAGTCCCAAAACATCTGGAGGGCCAAGTTTGGGCATGCCTGTTTTAAATGAAAGCAGAGGAAGGTGATGGAAATCCATGATCAGTTTTGGGGTTTTTTGTCCAGGACAAGAATGATAGACAGTAAGTTTCACCTGAATGCAAATGCCTGGCTTTCTGAAAGATGGAGTGGGTTAAACTGTGGAATAAAATTTATGGCTGGACATCATAATTCAAGAGTATACATGGATACTAGTGAATACAAACTGCATTGTGCAAAGCACAGATACACACCTTGTTGCAACACTAAAAAAATTCATTCTCCTTCCATTCCAAAGATTGTTAATGAATATCAAGAGGGAACGCCCAAAGCACTCCATTCAGCTTTTTCTGATCTCGGACTTATTTTTCTTGGCTGTCGCCAAATATTCCCCCTTTCTATAATATGGGGATTGTAAAGTCTGATGTCCAAATTACTACATCGCAAAAGACTTGGGAAGCGGCACCAAACATCAGCTGTAGAAGAAGTTGCTGTAGGTGCCTTTTTGGATGCAACAGTATGACTCTGTTAATTAATTCAATTAATTATGTACCATAATCTGCAATAAGCAGCAGTCTGGAGTGATATTTAAGAGTTTTATTCTAGAACTGGGGATGCCCAGATTCAGATGCCCCCTTGGCAATGAAGGTCGTTGAATGAACCAGTCACACTCTGAGCCTAACCAGCTTCAAGGGGTTGTTGTGAGGATAAAAATGGATAAAAAGAACATTGTACAGCACCTTGAGCTTACTGGAGAAAAGAAGGAACAAGTAAATGAATGTAAAAAAAGAAAAAAGAAACATATGCACATAGTTAATGATGTATTACTAATATGTGGTGGACACATAATTCAACGAATATTTAGTTAAATATGTTAAGTTAAATTAATTGGGGGGGGGACCTTGCAAATACCGGATAGGCTTAGGATTTATATATGTAATTTGTGATGATTCAATATGTTGAATACTGAATTGGTTAGAAAGAAAGATGTTAAGCGATTAAGTAAATTTTATAAGAATACTGAATTGGAAAACCGTTAAAATGATATCCATTGAAACCCAACCATGGGGATATGAGGAAGTCACTTAACAATGTTAATTAGATTAAGGCTCAAAAAGGTTATGATTTATGTTTGTTTATTTGTTTATGTCTTTGTTTATCTGTTTGTGTGCTTAAATATTTGTGGGGGGGGGAATAAAAAAAATTCAAAAAAACCCCAAGCATCATCCAGTCCAACCCCCCTGCAATTCAGGAATATTTTTGCCCGATGTAGGATTTGAACCCATGGCCCTGTGATCAAGAATCTCATTCTCTACCAACTGAGCTATCGGATTTGGTTTCGGTGGGCAGTTTTATTAGGTTGTGTGTAAGAGAGAGGAAAATAGACATGGAAAGAAGAGAACAAAAGCCCTCAGAAAACCATAAAAGAAAGAGAGCGTCTCCACTGGACAGCACAGTTGCTCACTGGTACCCATTAATTTATCCCAGCTAATTATATAAAGTAATAAGTAATGATCACACCTGAATATATATATATTCAGCAAGTTTCTTAGTGATTCATTAGTGCAGCATCTTTTCCATTAGCACCACCAAATGCATCCACTCCCTGCTCCTCAATCTCTTCTTCATCCAAGCAAACAAGCATAGGGACCAAAAACATCCAATCTCAAGACATGTCCAAATTCCCACAAGCACACCTTCAGTCACACAAATATAGAGACACTTAGAAGAAGACCCTTTCAGCCAAATGCATCTAGACTTCATTCACTGGCTTTTCCAGGGATTATTGTCCTTTCCAGGTGCAAACTAAGTGTGATGGGATTCACACCTTTAGCCTTTGCTTATAAACCACTGGCATGGAGAGAGGGCATATCCAGACTGGAACTATGGTATGAGGAGGGGGCTTTAATCCATGGTCCAGCTTGGAATCAAAGGGTGAAAGCCTTCTCTCCCCATGTCACAGCCCCAGGCTGGCTACCCCTCCCACCACACAAGAGCTTAAAGACATAAATGCCATCACATCTACAATTTGACCCCAAGACGCCTAAGAAGTCAGAAGAAATGATAACATGGAAAGATACTGGGGAGAGGAGGAAATCATCTCCCTGAATGTAAAAGGACAGAAGACCGTCACCCGTTCTAGAAAAAGATACAAACATTAAATCAGGCAGATTCCAAGCTGCTATTAGACAGGTTTCTGCCTAATTTCTAGGAGAAAAAAATAACATTTCCCCCCTGATCCTTCCTATGGAAAGTGGATATGAGACAATGAAGCATTAGCCTTTGCTTGCATTTCCCATGATCATAAAAGTCAATTTTAGCTTCTTCTTCTTTTGGCTTCTTTAGCATTCTCTTTCCTTAAATTGGCTTATGGCTACTTAAACTCCAGCCAGCATTTGCTGCTGACCGCCAAAGACAGCAGTCTGATCGATTTGTAATTATCTGACTGGCCAAACAATCATTTGTGTTGTCTGTTTACAGCAGGGTTTTCCCTGCACTTGGTAATATTGAGGATTTGTTTCATCAATTTCCATTAGATCAGGGGCAAGCAACATAAGAGCCACAAATTTATCTGGTTATTTTGCAGCCTGTTTTGCTCTGGAGTCCAAACGGTGCTGCCACCAGCCTGGGTCAATACTTCCAAAAGTTGTGCTACAGCATTCAGACAGCCATTCCGGTTTTCATCTCCCTCCTTCACAAGGCTCTGCCTGAAGCAAGTCTCCACCTGGGCTCACTCACACACACCCACAAGAAAATATTTTGCCCACTTTTCCTTGAAACAACTAACTACAGGTAAGTCATGGTCCAAGCAGACTGTGAACTTTACAGTGCCTACCAATGCAATAGACTTCCTCCATTCTTAGTCTAAGAGGACCAATGGTTTGTGTAACATATTAGAAGGTTCTGATGATCTTCTTTCTCCCCTATGATCATAGTGGCCATACCCTCCCAAGTGATGCAGCCCAAATCCAGAACACCGTCTTCCGGGTCCAAAATCCCATGTGAGTCACATGACCTGCGCAAGATTATGGACCCAGAAAAAAACGCTTTTTCAGTCATGTTGCCCAAAAACACATGTTTTGGGGCACCACATGAGACTGCAGACATGAAAAAGCAGTTCTTTGGGCACAGCACCCTAAAACACATGTTTTGGGGTGCCGTACAAGATCATGGACCTGGAAAACATGCTTTCTTGGAGTGAGATATTGGCCCAAAATCGGGCAAGAGCAAATAGCCACCATGCTCTCATGGGGGAAAACAAAATGTCCATTTTTTTCCCCCGGGACAGTTGACAGGTATGCCCTATGTTTGGTGCTCAATGCACATACAGATATGCTCACATAGAGCTCATCCACATGGGGGATTCAAGCCCTATCAGGATTTTTCTCATGTACAGTCCCTTCACATGCACCAATCACACAAGTGGCCAAGGTTTAGGTTGCAAAGGGTGTGGGGCTGCCGCACACAGTCCATGTTTTCTGAATCCATGGGGTGGTCATCTGACTCTCCCTATAGTTGCTGTGGCATAGTACACTATATTTATAGAGGTCATTTATTCACATAAACGTACTTCCCAAAAAAAGAAAAATATATCCTTACCGGTTTATATCCAAGACATGCACCCCATATTTGCTTTCGATTGTGTACTTCCCAGGCTCACTTGCAGGAGTAATCAGTTCTTCATTTTTATACCTAACACATGAAAAGAGGACAGATCGCACCAATAAACAAATTGCAACAGTAAGTAAGGAGCAATTCGATGGCATTTAGGACATAACAACGGTAAGAACACAAGCTGTTTGCCCCGTTTCAATGACCTTCTGCACGTATATAGAACGGATGGTGTAGGGGAAATGTACAAACTATGTGTATTGAACATAGATGTCCATAATCTTATTTAGTTAGGCTCACTGCTCAATCCAGCTGGGATGGCTGAGCACGCAGGAAGACAGGACTTCTGTCACTTTAATGGCTGCATAACAGAGAATCTCTAAGAGTAGCTCCCCTAGAAAATTTATAAGCTATCCTGCAATCATTCCCTCTTCTGCACAGTTATTAAAGGCACAGGAGAACTTCCTAAGCAAATAGTCATGCTAATAGTCACATGGGAGTCTGCATGTGATTATTGCACCACTGAATTACAGCCATCATGCAGTAAGCTTCCCTACGGTGCAATATGACATCCTATTTCTCCCTGAAACATCTGGAAGAGCATGACTAACTGTGTGCCTCCCTGTTTGGCTTTATGCTAGCGTCTGTCTTTCTTCATCACCAGCCCTTACCAAATCTGTCTTTAGAATGGCAGGGAAAGGAGGAGGACAGTAACTCATCAGTAGAGCATCTGTGTTGCATGCATAAGGCCTCAGGTTTAGCCCCAGTAGCTCCAAGAGCTGATAGAGAAGATTTCTGCTGAAATCCTGGAGCTTCCACAAGTCAGTATAGACAATACTGGTAGACCAATTGTCTTAGTGTAAGGCAGCTTACTATGATCCTAAGACAGGTGGCAAGGGGTAAAAGGAACCGTTCACATACATATCAACTGGCAGGATAGCAACCCTGGACAGTGGGGAGGCAACATTTTACCTACTGTGGAAACACAGTGGAAATACATTACTTATACATCCCTAATACTGCTCACAGACTTAATTACTTCATATAAGGTTGAAGATAAACATAATAATAAGCCACAGACAGGTCATGACTAAAATAATGAAACAGAAAATAGGTTTCCCAGGAAACAGATGGTTACAAAAGAGAAATCAAGGCACTCATTCTCCGTAGTCAACAGAATGGAGGTTAGACTACAGGCACATTCAGGCATGTGGATACACTGCCAATGCCTCTTCACTCTTTGACTTATCACTGGATGATTATGAGCTGAATACATGAACGTCTTCAGACGAAAAGAGATCCAAGATTATATTATGTGAAAATTCCACAGTGTTTGATCTGTGAAGGCTGTTTCACACATGTGATATCTGAACTGTCAGTGAACATGCATGGGCAGACTCACTGAGAGTGATTTACAGTTACTTCTTCTTGTTAAGATGTGCTTCTCTTGAGGGAACCCTAGACACTTGCAGCTTATAGAAGGTTTAGAGCAAGGCTGCGGGAGAAGCTACAGCAGCATCTACTGGTATATTGGCAGTGGATTGGCAAGGATTCCTAGCTTGACAGTGGCAGCAATACAATGACTCCCCTTTCCCAAATTCTACTGTGGAAATGGAAAAGAGCTTCAGATGTGTGGCCAGTTCTGGTACTCAAAAATGTCATGGGCTCAGAATTATTTGAATCGAAGTGCATGCCTTCTGCACCAGGTTTCAGTTGGTGGACCTTAAGAGTTTTAGTATTTAAAAAACCCTAAAAATAAAAAGATTCCACAAGCCTAAAGTCTGCCCACCCTCATTTAGATTACTACAATGATCGCATTGCTCTACTGTTCCCTGCTCTACTGTTCTCACACCAGTCGTTCCAGTTGATTCACATTTTCTTAGGTGACTTTGTAGCATTTAACTCTTATTGTAAAGCAATAATGGTAGTCTTGGGCTGCTATGCTGCTCCATTAAAATCAGCAGGAGTTTTAAACTTGTAGAGCGGTTTCCCTCCTTCTTTTCTAAGCCATTAGGCCAGTGTGCCACAGCTTTTGTGCTCCAAAATAGCTACTGTGTGTATGTCTGCAGTACAAAGACGGGGCCTTCGGTTCCTTTAACCGCAATGTCAACAGCACCCATCCAGCATTTCTTTGAGGATTACAAAGCATTTTTAACATAGCCATTATGTATGTGACACTTAATAGCTGAGCCGAAGCTCCCAAATGAGTAAAGCCTCACGCCATTTTGAGATTCCTGGAAAGGGGTCAAAGCCTTACCATTGTACAACAGGAGTGGGAAATCCCTGGACAGTGAAGTAAAGTCTGACAGACATCTTCTCCCAGACTGTGTGAGACCGGAGCCGCACCAAAATTTCAGGGGCTCGGCTGATGGTCTCTTCAACGGTATACCTTTCCAAAGCCATCTTCTCTTCTACCTGCAGCGCAAGAGGGGAAACAAATTAAATAAATAGGAAGAGGGGAGAACTAGGCAGTCCAGAGGCTCTTAGCAAGGAAGGAGCTTGAGCAGGCCCACAAACTAAGGAAGGGACAAAGACCCTCTTACAGTACCATCCTCTGTATGGCGATTCTGTCCAGTTGTTCTCTGGCAAGGAGCCTGGCTGTGCGCATCTCCTCCTCCAAAGCGGACAAGCTGGTGACAAACCGGATCCTTCTCTGTTCGCTCCAGTGCTGAGACTTTTGCTCCTGAACCCTGCATGACCAGAGGAGGGGTGGGGGGAAACAGCATGAGAAGAACCCAGCGTCAAAGACTTCACGTTGTTACTGAAACTCTACAGCAGACAAATGAAGGCTATGGAGTTTCATTAGTGGCATTAAGGAGATGCAGATTCTGTACTCTGAACTATTTCCCTTCCCAGGATAATGCAAGAAGAATCTTGAGGGGCAGATGCACAAGCATTCCAGCATCTTCTTCTTCCTCGTCTTCCTTTGCTGTGAGTGGCTCACCTAATTAGACCTTAATTGGTGCTGGGCTGGAGTGGCTCCACCAATGTCACTGAGACACTTCTTTATGTGGGGCTTAGCTGAACCTTTCCACACAACCTACGATGGCTGAAAGTGGCAAGAGAGCAGGGTCATGGTGGCATAACCCACTCACATTTAATATACCATGTAATGCAATTAAACTTGCACCCCTCCTTTCCTTTGAAGAGCATGTACATTTGCAGTAAAACACACACCTCAACCACAGGGCTCAAGAGTAACCAGTGAGCTAAGTACGGATTTGAACCTGGGTCTTTCCAGTTCTAACCACTGCACTCACACCAGCTCTCAGATAAAGGATGGATTAACCATTAAGCAAAATAATCATGTGCTTAGGGCATCAAGGGAAGGGGGGCGCACCACAGAAATGTTGCATTGCTGGGATTACCATGGACCATATGGCGCAGTTGAACCAGGTTCCACAAAAAAGGCTCCCACAATAAATGGGAATACACACACACACACACACACACACACACACACAGTGGTACCTCGGGTTAAGTACTTAATTCGTTCTGGAGATCCGTTCTTAACCTGAAACTGTTCTTAACCTGAAGCACCACTTTAACTAATGGGACCTCCTGCTGCCGCCACGCCTCCGGAGCATGATTTCTGTTCTCATCCTGAAGCAAAGTTCTTAACCCGAGGTACTATTTCTGGGTTAGCGGAGTCTGTAACCTGAAGCATATGTAACCTGAAGCATATGTAACCCGAGGTACCACTGTACACAATTATAAGCATAATAAATACAAATCAAGTGGAAGTATACAAAAAGAAACATCTTTTTCCATCTTACTGTAGGTTTCATTTCATTTCAAAAAATAAAATTTTATTCTACGGTTTATTAGTGCCTATATTTTGAATTAGATATATATGGCGGCACCAAACTCTTGGAAATGCCTCTGAAGGTCTTAATCTGGTTCTGTCTCAGATCCTTGGTGGTGGGTGCCCAATCACACAGGTCACTTAACACGTGTATAGTGTACAGCCCCATGAGATCTGCTCACACATTATACTGAGGGCATCTAGAGCATATACCTGCGGCCACTCTCATACTTTCCCCACCATGCCCTCAGTTGCCCTAGTTTCAAATGTTGAGTGAAAAAAGGGATTTCAAGGAGGGCACTGCCAAGGATGGTTCTCCAGTAATATGTCCTTCAAGCTGTGTTTCAGCCTTCAAACATGAGTGGAGTGCTTTTAAGAACGACACAGAGTGCCCTGTGACTTCTATTGTATCTGCCAAATTGCTCATACACGTTGTTTTGCTTAGTTCTGCTTCCGAAATTGGAGGGGGGAGAAGACAGGTTGATAATGCAGTTAGCAATGCTGCTGAAAGATAATCAAGCCCTGCTGAAGTCCATCGGACTTCCTTCCTAGTAGCCTTGTGTAGGATTACACTTTAAATGTGGGTTGTTATTGGTAATTGTATTGTTGTCAGACTTTATTGCTGTTTTACGGAGTTCCCTTGTGAGGTCGTGGTCCTAAAAGGAGATCTAAAAGTCTCTTAAATAAGTCCATGGATTTTGTACAAAGAAGTGCTCTTTTATTTCTTTGGCCTTCATTGACCCTTAGCCAATAGCTGTCAAAAACACTCATGTCATTACTTTAGGCCTTGAAAAAGCCCAGTTACTTTGCCCAGTTACAGAGAATGAGGTCATTGCTAGCAAGCCTCAGTCCCTTTAATTGAATCTGAAGTAAGCCAGGGCAGGGGCAGGAGGCCTCTGAATACCAGCCGATGCAGATCACAAGTGGGGAGAGTTGTGTTTCTCTTAGGTCCTGCTTATGAGCTCCTCATTTGGTTGGCCACTGTGAAAATGGGGTGCTGAACTACATGAGACTACGGTCCAGCAGACCTCTTCTTAGATTCATCTGTTGAAACTGGGCTGAGGGTGGGTGCTTGGAGAGATAATAAAATGGGATTTGAGCAGCCCATCTTAGACTTTTGTTATTTTTCTGCCTGAATAGTTTTATATACCCAAGTAGATGTGCCATGGGAGATCCAACACCACGATCTCCCGTGGTCATTTTTAAAAAAAATAAATGCATCCTAAGGGGGGGGGGAGGGCAAAACCATGGTCCTGCAGGAGGTCTTAATCTTTAATCCAGGAAGCATACTGAATTTCCCTCCCATAAGAACCAATAGGAGGGAACCTGAAAAAGGATGGAAAATGAGATAACACCAGAACCATTGTGGTAAAAATTGCCTTTTCTTCCCACCCTCAGCTTCCACCATGGGTGGCGTTCTCTCTCATCCCTAACATAAGATTATTCTCCCCATTGTTCATCTTTTTTAAAATCACTGATTGGACTCCTGTGGTGTGGTTGCCCCAAGAATAGACAACTAGTTTGTTAATATGGCATTGGTAGGTCAAATCCTATGGGTACTTCCATCCCTTCTCCATTGGGGCCGCTGATTCGAAGGTGGGAAGTACCTATCTGACGCAGCCTCTCTGTGTGATCGAAAGCATTTCAATTCTAATGCATCATGACAGCTGATCACAGCAGAGTAGCACAATAATGGCAACCGTTCTGCAAAGGTGTAATATGCAATCACGTACTGGGGTTTTTTACATTCTGTATCCAACGCTGGACTTACTTACAAATTAAGTAAACCCACTGAAATTAATGAAGTTGCCTAACTTACATCCATTAATTTCATTGGGTCTATTCTGAGTAGCCACATAGTTGGAAATCACCCTTAGTCCCTTGCAGCAGAATAGACTACATCTTCAAATTTAGATTTATTATTTAAACCGAGATCAGCATTCATATTCCACCCGCTGTGATGTCAAGGGGCTGCCAGCAGGTCACTTGGGGACCCTTAACTTGTCTGAAAGGAAGAGGAACGGCAATCTCTCTATAACTCTACCTTTCATGACATGCCATGTCCATGTCCCTGGGGAGTATTTGTTGTGCAATACGTCAGTGGCCGTACAGCCACTCACACAAAACAGGAACAGGGCTGTCAGCATATTTATTACAGGAGTACATCTCTCGGCTGAAACTGAGATGTCACCTTAAGCTCCCCCAATGATAAATAGGAAGGGGGGAAGATAACTATATTATGAGTAAGTTGCCCAAACATATAGTTTTGGCCTTTAGCAAGAACTTAGCACAGTTGCTTACACTCCACACACATACAGACACACACACATTTCAGTGCAGATTCATACTTAATCCAATTTTTAAAGTCTATTTTCAGTACGGGCATATGTCAGCTATGAGATTTACGAGACACTCAATGCTTCAGTATTCCAGGCCTAATAAATTAATAAGGAGCCCAGGACACTACAAGCATCTTGTCATGTTGACAGTTCTGCCAACAAAACTGCTCCTCATGGGTGTTTCAGGAGGTTTTGAGAGTTCTTAACGTAGGAAATGATTTCCTTTCCTGTTTGAGGACTTCAGTGGGGAAGTAGGGAGGATGCTGTAGTCGGCCATTATAAATATGCCCCAAGGCACATTTACTGATGTGCCTGACAAAACACAATTCTTGGGTGCCAGAGACCCAAAGGCAACACATATGAAAACTGAAAGGAAAACTAGGAACTCCTTGTCAATGATCTGGATTGGAACCTCAAATCAAAATGCGAACTTCACCCTTCCTTGCTACTGCAGCTCTTGGCCATGTAAGCATTTCTCTTCTATACCCATCCTCCCTCCTGCTGGTCGTCTCATATTCCTCCTTTTGCCTTTCTCCTCCTTATTCATTTGGATCAAATTTTTCCTCCTCCAACACTCCCCTCTTATCTTGCCCTTTCTCCTGGTCTTCTGCCTTCTCAGACTCTGGTTCCTTCTCCTCCCCTTTACCTATTTCCTTCTGCTTCTCTGCCTCTCTCTGTGGCAGGGCTAGGCAAACTTTTTCTGGGCCATAAGCAAAAGTTGGCAGAGCAACCAATGAAATTTTAAAAAACAAAACCTTTGAACATTAGGCTAGTCTCTACGCAAACACACACATGCAGCCTTCTCTATCCTCCATCCAAGGAAGAAAAGAAAAAGCATTAATAGAGTTGGACACAATGAAGCCAAAATACTCAAAGGGAGTGCAAAGCAGAGCTCATGAGAGGTGTGGCCTGAAGAGGGGGTGTGGCCCACAGAGAGCTCCAAGGGACAGACAGAGAGGTCTGCATCTGGCCTTCAGGCCTGAGGTTTCCCATTGGTGGTCTGAGAACATTAGCCAATGGCATTTGCACCATTCTTAGACAGCTCAGCCAATCAATAGGGTAGTGATTAAGGGAGGGACTATAGCTCCATGGTAGGTGACATGCTTTGTTTATAGAAGCTCCAAGGTTCAATCTTGGGCATCAGCAATTAAAAGGAACCTGAAGAGACAATACTGGGCTGAAGAGACAATACTGGATGAATAGTCTGGCCTGGTATAAGACAGCTTCCTATGAATCACTGAGTCTTTTCCACCATCACTTTCCTTACTTTTATATCCTGGCTGAAGAAAGCTTTACCTCATTGCCTGGGATTCGTGTGACTCCTCTTCAGATGAGACATGATGAAGTCTCCTGGCACACAAGCGACACGTTGTCCTTCCCACATCGGCAGGTGCAGAATAGGAAACAGCATGTCTAGAAGCAGCTTGTCTGGAAGCAGCCCTTATATGCAAAGCAATGATAACAACTTTTACGATAACGCAGTGTTAAGATTTCCATGTCTTTCTGGGGAAATCAAAAAACTAGTCATTGGTTCACTTGCATAAATGAAATACGTTTCAGATTTTCTTTTGCCCAGTTGCTAAAATGGAGGGGGAGAAGTTATCCAAATGGCAATAAAAGGTCATGGTTGTTTCAGACTAGAGAGGTAACTGAATTTGAACTGAGAACCTAACAAGCTCCTCTTCGCTAACAGAAGCCTTAAGACAGATGCTCCAGTTCTATGGTGAAGGGAAAGCACAGATGAATGCAGCTCCGTGACTTTTTTTCAGAACAGGAACAATGATGGCATCTGCTGGAGGAAAAAGTAACTTGAGTGGACCTGCCTAACACCACCGAGTGAACAAAGTGATAATGAGGTTTTCAAATTGCTTTTGTGACAGCTTAGAGGAAGTTGGAGAAGGAGGAAAATAATCCAGCAAAGGCTGGAAACTTCTTTCTGTTTCTTTGATGTGGTTCCTACTTCCTACTATCAGTTTAACTGGTAAAAATTTGTATTTCTTTTTAAAAGCTAAATATTGCATTTTAGCTGGCTGAAAATCTTTGGTTGAAACTCAAGGTGTTTTACAAGCTGAGCCTAAGCAGTCAAAAGCAAACACTCACAGAGTTTGCTCCCAGAAAACTATGCACAGAATCACAGTCATGCTGCTCCTAATAAAATGGATATACTACAATGTAACGCATTGTTTGCACATGTATATAATAATGGATAAACATAGCTGCCTCTGTTTTAGACTCTTCTCAAGACACAGCTATATGGACTGTCATGGTGAGGTTGTGCACTGCAAAAATGTATCATTATACCGCTCCCGGTTCTTCAGCATGACCTGAAGGTCACAGCTTTTCCATTCACCTCTCTTAACTATTTGCGCAGGGAGAAGTCAAGCTTCTCATATATCCAGTATGACACCAATATTTCCAGTCAACGCCAAGAGAGTGAGGCAGATCCCATAACCCTCCAGCTTCTCATTCTTTGTTATGGCAGGACTACTTTAAAAACCATTTGCTGTTCAGTGAAGCACAATTGTCATTTGGTACACTGGTTTGCTATTATTATTTTACTGCAAAACTCTGTATTACTTTTCCTCTCTCATCTGGTTTTGCGAGTGTGTGTGTGTGTGTGTCTGTGTGTGTGTATACATGTTCTTGGAAAATAAATCAAATCAAATCTGTTGGCTCAGATGCGCATCTTAGGACTGAGCCATTAGACCCACCGTGCACAACTTGTGCCCTGATTTGATGTACATCATAGGGTGATCCTTAACTTTGGTTAACCCTGCTGATTAATCAACCAGCAGATGGGTTGGTTGATTCAGGATACATACCCAATGCCTGTGCCAAAACCTGCTTAGCACCTGTAATCAATAAAGTTATAGCCTGTTTAAATCCCGAGTGGTTGTCCTGTATTTATTGTGAATTTATCATGCTTTGGCCCCACCAAACCCAGACCCAGAAGTATGGCACTTACCTTCTTGCTGAATATTCCTGAAGCAAATACCTGGTCTGAATATTGCGATAGGACTGGTCAAAGTGCTTGTGCCTCCTTTGGTAGAACGGCACTGTAGACGACATCTTCGAATCTGCTACCACTCACTGCTCCTGTGAATTAAACAGTGACAATCATATTTACCTGGGGCTTTCAGAACCTTCGTTGTTTCTCTTAAATTCTGGAGCTTGAATGAGCAACAACAGATCGTGTTAGACTACTATGTCAAATACCATAATGGAAGATACTAACAAATATATGAACTGAATATTTAGGATTATGTGCTAGGAGACATCATAGCTGTCAACTTTTCCCTTTTCTTGCAAGGAATCCTATTCAGAATAAGGGAATCTCCCTCAAAAAATGGAAAACATTGACAGCTATGGGAGACATGCAGACAAGCCCTATGCAGGTTTACTTGCAAGTAAGCCCCACTGCATTCAGTGAGATGTACAGCTGGGATGGGGAATGTATAACCCTCTGGATATTGTTGGACTGCAACTTCTGTTATCCTTTACATTTGTCCCAGCTGGCTGAGGATGATAGAGAATGTTTGGAGAACCACTGGTTCATCATCCCTTTCATATGGAATTGAATTATTGGGATGAATACACGTGGGCCACTTTGGAACTGGCCTCAATCTCACATCACTTAAGTTCTCAACACTTAGCACCTACAATGAAGAATATGGCATTTGAACTGACAGCAGCTGATGCAAAATTTTCACGACAACAAGTCATCTCGGAAGGAGCATTCACATGTGCATATTGCAATGCTATAGTCCAGGGAGCTTAGATTTTTTTTTAGTCAAGGGCTGCAATGAACTGTTGTCCACCCTCCAGAGGCCACATGTCAAAGCGGATGTGATGAGAACTGCAGTTCTTAAGGCTGACTTCCTAATGGCTTCCCCCGTCAGCTATTTTACACTCTTTCGAATCATTTATCCATTATTAAATTTACTTAAAATGTGCATAATGTTATTTATTTATTTAAATTTGTATACCATCCTTCATCCAAAGATCACAGGGCAGTTCACAACATAAATGGCATTTTTATTTTAAAAAAATGAAAACTGAGAAAATTGTTTGGCATCATGGTATTACACCAGAAATCAGTATTTTTAGCAGAAATTTAAAATGGTGACTGGGGCTACAGCAGATCTTTTTGTGCGGGAAGGATGGATTAAAGCCTGCAAGCTAGCCACCCACTACTATAATCAGTAGCCCCAATCCACCTAAAGACTGGAAGCTAAAGGACTCTTACTTGGGAATAATCCTCACTGACTACAATGAATAGGCACAGAATTGGACTACAGGTTCCACTGAAAGCAATAGAACCTAAGGTCATCTGCTACCATCTAGCTGAATCAGGGCTGCCTAATAATGAACATGCATGCAAGGCACCCAACCTTCATGGGGCCATTTCAAATATTAAAGCCATGGCTTCCCGGGGGGGGGGGGGGAGAGGGAGAGAGAGAGGAAAATCTCTGTGTTCCTTTGAGAAAGTGGTAGCTGACCCAAGTCCCTTTGGGGTTCAACCTTCATTGAAGGAGGCATTCAGAGAGACAGAGCCTGCAAAGGCAGCTGCATGGTCCAGAAGGGACAAGGTTTATTAAGAGAGTGACACTGGCAACAAACCAAAATGTAAAATGCATTTCCAAACTGACCATATTTATATCCTGGCAGAGTCATTGCTCGATTAGCACATTATAACTTTGCTCCATTTGACATACGTCAGAAAGAGGTACAGCCTCCTCATGGGTGTCTCTTTCTGCTTAGACAGATAAATTAACTCTTGCTTACCCAAGAGGCCCATATTTCTGATTAAATTAATTGTTTTATGTTCACAGGGCTTTAGCCCCAAAGGTTTCATCTCGGGGTGGGGCGTTCAGTGTTTTTCCATATATTGCTTCTGTGGTTGTTACAATTTATATACTGCCCTTCATCCAAAGATCACAGGGTGGTTCACAGCGTAAAACACAAAATGAGGACACAAATATATAATAAAACAAGAGCAAAGATCAAAAGCAATCCAATACATACACACACACCCCATATAACAGCCAAGGCTGAATAATTGCAGCTCAGGTCTACAATTAATGTGACAAAATAATATCAGTTCTGGTTTGCCAGCACAAGTTTCATGCTTTTTCCAACAGTGAAGTACTTTCCACCCAAGAAATATATTACATTTTATTTGCCCTTACAATATTGAAAGGCACAGGATTTTGTCTCACCTCTAGCTAATATAATCCCACCAATTTAATTACATAGAGCATTTGGGAATCTTTTAGGAATATTATTTGCTTTTCTTCTCATAGCAATTGAGAGGAGCGGTATAACTTTGCTATTTCAGTAATGTCTTATTTTGATATGATTGACCATTCTCTGTTGTTGAACTCTTCTCCAGAAACACCATCACTACATCCTATCAAGCAGTGAAATGATCCATTGTTCTCTATTAAGCAGCAGGTCACAGAAGGGACATTATGAAGGCAAACCATATCAGAGCCTGTCGCAGCTGGACTGCCTCCTCCCTCCCGTACAGGGATGTTCTTACCATCATAGAACAGCTAGACCATTGGCCAAACTACCTCAGTATCATCTGAACTGACTGACAGAGCCTCCAGGATTTCAGGCAAGGTTTTCTTCCCAGTCCTACCTGAAGATGCAGGGACCTTCTGCATTCAAAGTAGATGTTCTGCTACTGAGCTACAGTCCTCCCCCTTCAGTAGTCCTATGGAAAGTTTTCCAGGATGAAGAAAAAATACCAGCAATAGCCTCCTCAAAGTCTCCTCTAGCTGGACTTTCTCTCTACCCCACCATCACCACCTAGGTCACCTAACATCAACTCCTCTATGAGCAGGGTCCTGATGATTTTTTCTATCTTGATATTGTTTATTGTGGGGTTGTTGTTTTTTAAAAAAATGCCACTCATAGGCCACTTTGGATCAATTAGTTTTCTGAGAGCTAGAATATAAACCATTACAATAAATACACACTAGTCTTCTGTCTATTGCCACACCCCTTTCAGATGCCTCAGAGTTCCATGAGCGTTGAGGTTACATTCGTCCACACTCCTTGTCATATGGAACAGTATTCTAATTTCCACCAGCTTCAACTTCATTGAAATATTCTCAGTTTGCAGCAAGGCACACACCCATCTTGGGAGATTATTGCTTCATCCTTCTCAGTACAGAAAAATGCTCAGTCGTCAGCTAGCCTGAACCCACCCACAGCTTTGTCTACTTTGTGCTGCTGGAGGACCTGGATTTGGAACAACTGCTGAGTGTCAAAGGAAAGGACACTCACAGGTCCTTCCACACTGCTGTTTTGTTGAGGTTGTTTTCTACGGCATGTTATTGACACAAAGCCTCTCCTCTTCCCCGAGGGGAGGAGTTGTGAACGGGTCTTGTTTCCCATGCTTCGCAGGGGGTGTGGATGGCCCACTGCGTGACAGGAAGTCCCGGGCCTCCATCATGCCCTCAGCCAACCAATCCAGCAATTGGCTGGAGGATGTGATTTGCCGCTCTTAAGCAAACGCGGGACAGCCGCTCAGCCTGTTGGAGTGAAGTATAGTCTGTTCAGATCCAATGCCTAAGCCAATACCACTCACATTCTGTAACAAATAAAGTTGTGGCCATTTTTAGCCCATTAACCTAAAATACTGGTTTCCATGTGCAGTGGCAGAGCTTCATGCTCCAGAACCGGGAGGCAGAGAGCAGGTGGGGGTGGGGCTGGCATGCATCCTGGGGGCATGGCGTGCATCCTGGGGGCAGGGCTCATCGACCGTGGGGGCATGGCGCCCAGTGCATGTGGGGGGCAGCTGCGATAGCACCCCACCAGGATTGCGCTGCCGGGGGCGGTGCGCTCCCCCCGCACTCCTCTTCCTCCGCCAGTGTCAATGTGTCTTATTTCATCATAAAGCAAGGGATGGGGCTTCGACTCACAATAATAGTGCCTTAGTGATGGATTTGTTCTGATTCAGTTTGCTACATCTGAATTTCTATTGAGAAAGCTAAGGGTGCGACAAAATTGGGATGAAAATAAACCTGAACAATTCCATATAAAACATTATGGGATTTCAGCTGGAAGCTATGGGATAAGCACTGGTTGGGAATGAAGCAGTATGGCTGCCCCAAGACATTTGAAGGTGCAAACGGTACTAACAGGGTCATTTGTGCCCACCCAGATAGCACCACAAGCGCAACTAATTCTGAATGAGCAATAAAATGGTGTCTGCAGAGCCACTAAAGGAAATGCGCCTTCCAGTTGCCATCTGACAGAAGCCGCCTTTTTTCTTTCTTTCTTTCTTTTTGCAAAGGAAGGGAAATTCTATTAAGTCGGAACGATAGCTCACTCACGAAAACCCCATGCTTTATAAATGATGCATTATTTCACATATTTGCCTCACCTTTCCGTCACCCCCTTCCCTCTTAAGTCTCATCTGTGTTCAGATGATGAGTCTTCAGGAAAGGGAGCTTGTCGTTTTTAATTCCCTGCAAAAGCACTCGGCTTATTTTAAGTGCTGTTTAAATCACCGTCGTCATAATGCCTGGTTGGGTTTGGGCATGAGTGATATGGGAAAGCTTCTGGAAGCAACGTTGCCCACCGCTTTCTGACCGTGGGAGACTTCCTACTGAATTAGCATTAAGCTCATTCCCAGGCCTTAAAAGAATCCCCTGTGCTAGCACAAATCCTGTCTATTTCTGCTTAGTCAAAATCCAGCTGACTACTTTTTGTGAGGGTGTAGTGTCCTGCCTGTCCAAAGTCCACCTGAAATTGTAATTGGATGGAAGAGGTCCTCACTTCCTGTCCTAAGCATGTGGGTCGCGCTGCTATAAGGAGCGGGGCATATATAGCACTAGAGGTGATTGGGTTACAGAGGTGGCCAATGTCTGAAAAGAACCCTGAGCCAGAACTTCAAGATCTTACTTAGGTCAGCATCCACAGGGATACTACATCTGAGTCTTACTCTCACTAAAGGAGGAACTTGATAGGTACTTGACTCTCTGTGAGAGACAGGGTCCTCAGGTGCATTTCTCAGGCATCATGCGTGCTCTACATTTAAAGCACATGGCTTCCCCCTGGGAGCTGGGAATCGCAGCTCTGTGAAAGGTAAGCTGCACTTCCCATGATCTTTTGGGGAAGTCAAGTGCTTTAAGTGTATGGTGGGTATAAGCCTCAGACTGCTGCAAGAGGAGATGCTGCAAGGTCCTCTGAGAAACAGAGAAGATCCGCTGCTTCCCTTGATTCTTTTGTGGGGGCCACATACAGAAGGGCAATGAAATGAGCAGAATTTTCAAGAGCCCAATAAAATCTAGCCAGAACCTCAAAATAGCTCACATATTCAGACTCCTGCCTAGCATAAGCAGATATAAATAGGCTGCAATCCCAACCCCGCATATCTGGGAGGAAGCCACATTGAATTCAGTGGGATGTATTTCTACGTAGACATGGTTAAGGCTGCAGATTTCGTTACCAGCTATTTTGTTGTACACAAACAAGGATTTCAGTTCAGAAGGAAGATGGGCCTGACATATTCTTATAAATATTTATATATAAAATATATTCTTATAAATATATATCTTGTTTCCAATAATGTCTGTAGCATGTAGACTTTCTTTCTTTCTTGAACATGAACATAACATACAGTGAGCATAACATACAACAATACAAACAACCAAATAAAAGACTTCCTTTACCCTGTATCTGACCTCCTTATTTACTTCTTATAAACTGTTTCCTTTATGAATAATTATTAAGATTTTACTAACTATAACTTAAATATCCAAAAAGTCTCCTGCAGACATTAATCGAAACAAGTCCAGGTGTAGCATGTAGACTTTCTATACAGTAAGACTATGGTCTTATTAAACATTTTGGAAGTCTTTGAACCCAGTCAGTTCAATGCAACTCTCTAGTATTACTCGTGCGGTGCCACAACACAGGTTCTGACTTTTAGTTGCTGATTTAGCCTAAGATGTATTCTGTCGATTCCTAAGGACGCTTCTAAGAACCCCTAAAGTCAATTCCTAAACAAGTTAAATGGAAGTATGTGCCTTTGAAATTGTTCGTGTTTCCACCAACCAATGAAAGAAACTTACCATGAGGTCATTTCCCCCTCATCATTTTGACCTGATGATGCTTCATGAGATTTCCATTGCCACAATGTAAACAAATCAAATTTAATCGCAGAAAAAGTTTGATCCTCAGCATTGGTTAAAATACAGAGCTGACATGGACATGTTTCTTAAGTTGTTTGTAAAATGCAGAACTTTTCCATGATTGCAGCCCAACTGGCAGGCTGGAGAGAACGGGCACAAGATAAACATTTACTTCAAATCCATACCATTGTTACAGGAGAAAACCTGATGGAATAGAAATCATGCGTAATAAATGTTTTCTTTAAATTTTAAAGGGGGGAAACAAAACACAGGCCTCCCTGCTGCCCTCCATATAATCATTATATTCTTAAATCAAATGCTTGCTCAGGGTATAAAGGGTATAATATAAAAGCTTCTACACTGAGATCCAGCGCCGAGGGCGTTCTGGCGGTTCCCTCATTGCGAGAAGTAAGGTTACAGGGAACCAGACAGAGGGCCTTCTCGGTAGTGGCGCCTGCCCTGTGGAACGCCCTCCCAGCAGATGTCAAGGCAATAAACAACTATTTTAAAACTATTTAAAAGACAACTGAAGGCAGCCCTCTTTAGGGAGGTTTTTAATGTCTGATGCTGTACTGTTTTTAATATTCAGTTGGAAGCCGCCCAGAGTGGCTGGGGAAACCCAGCCAGATGGGCGAGGTATAAATAATAAATTATTATTATTATTATTATTATTACACATGATGGCTATGTTCTTCCTTCATGCTGAGAATCACAGGAGCAGAGAGTGTGGTTGCACTCAGGTCTTTCTTGCATCTGGTTGGTCTCTGTGAGTACAGGATCCTGGATTAGATGGGCCTGATCCAGTTGGCTCGTCTTACGTCTCGTGTTCTTACACATGATGCAAATATAGCTCGATGACGAGTGTACAGTGCTGCTTGCACCAATATCCCCAGTGAAGACCTCCTTTCTGCACTCCTTTCTGCACATAACCATGCCAAGCATGTACTGATAGAGCAGACCATGGTGCTGTAATGTTTAGATCTATTCCAAGCAAACAGAGAACGCTTCAAGACAAGGACATTGTAAGTAACCAGTCTTGCAATTGTCTTCAGGTACATAGGGAGAGTTTCAGGCATGGATCTCGCTGAGTCCTGGCCCTAACTTGAAATGTCATGGATAGAACCTGGAAGCTTCTACATGCAAAGCAAATTCTGTACCACTGAACCCATTCTCCCAGCTTTTCCAATATACTAAGGAACTGTGGAGGAACCACAAGTTCCTCCACATTATTTTATGAATAATGTGAACAAGTCCACGATCCCTTTATGGAAATACAATGGATCAATGCATCCAACCAAATGGGGGAAAATCAGAACACTCCAGTTCCCTGATCTCTGCATTGATGCCAAGTCAATCTTGAATTTGTTTATGAATGCTTCATCAGAACCTGATTCTGTCCAGAATTTTAATACAGAATCCAATGGCTCAGGAATTTTCAATTCTAAAAAAAATGTTCCCCTGTACAAGTACCAAACCCTTTAACACTTAACAAAAGTTACAATTCATAAATTTACTACTTCATTGTGTTCCAAGAGCAACAGACTACCTCAAACAAAAGATGCAGACACATTGGGATGGCTTCAAACTCTTTTTTTGTTTTTAATGCTCTCAAAAGCAATATATACGAACCCACCCTCCCAATACAAAGCTCAGTGGGGATCTTGTCTAAAAGACTGGCCTAGAAATATTATAATACAGGACTGAAATAATTGGCAGTGCTGGGGAATGGGTGGAGAAATTAAGCCATGGATCATCCAGGGTGAGCTAAGCAAAACCGCAGCAATAGCATCCTGGCGGCGGCTGCAGCGCTGTTGCATGTTGGGAGGGGAAGGAGCCAGGTGGCAGTGAGGTTGGAGCTATTCAGATGCACTGAGAGAACACAGTCCTGCCCTTGCTGCCACTTCAGCCTCCCGGTAAGCAGTGACAACACTGCAGCTAGGGAGCTATTGCTACAGCTCTGCCTTACCAGATGAATCTGCAACTAGCTACTCCACCCATCCTGCGAATGCACACAGGCACGGACCAAAAGAAACATACAAACATGGCATACACGCCATGAATTACACATGCACAGTGAGGGGATGCAGCTGGCAGGTGGAAAACGTCTTTTTGCCTTTCTCTCTCACCTTAATGAGACACCTGCACAGAGATGCTTTCACACAGTGTGCATTCAAGTTACAGAAATGGGACAGAAGTGTGTGCACACATACATCATTTATTTTATGCACTTACAGACTCAATGGAGAAAAACAAAGCAGAAGGAAATCTTCTCTCGACCTTTTTCCTCCCTTCTCTCGCACAAGCAAATGCCTCCCCAAGACCATAGCCTCAAAGGATAAAGTCCCCTCTCCTCTTTGCCCTGAACGTGGAAACAGAGTTCATGGAAGCCATGAAGGCAGCTGACAACAGCACCTGGGATTTGGTGTGGCTCCTTGCCCCATCCTTCTGCTTACGTCCCACCAGTGCATCCCACTGCCCACAGGGATTGGCTAAGCAAAGGGAGTTGCCTTGCGTAGCCTTGTGCATCATTTGCTGGAAACTGATCAAACCTCCTACACGCAGTCCATGTGTGTCCATCTGCCTTTTTTTTATTTTGGTGAGCACAGGAGTTGGGTTGACACACCCACATATTTTCCAAAACTCAGCAACCATTTTGGCTAGCCATACTTATATAGAACAAATCAGTTAAGAGTATATAAATGGTTACAAGTTACATATGTTGGGAAGCAGTTGTTCAGCAACACATTCATTATCTCAGGGGTGGATAACCTATGCCCACTCCCCAAGATGCTGTTGGACTCCAGCTCTCATCAGTCCCTGGCCAGGATGGACTGTGTGGCAAATTGTAGCCCAGCAACAACAGGAGACCCTAAATTTATCCACCCCTGCCTTACCTGTAGAACTTCATATATATATATATATTCTTACCCTAATCTGAATAATGCATAGGATCATTTTATTGGAAGGCTCTGATTTTTGAAGTACCTAGCAAAACCTTTAAAAATTGCAGCTAGTTACTGTTACATTCCAATCTACCCCCTTTTAACAATCTTATGTATTTTACATTCTGTAACTTTTTACTCTTATGGTTGCTCACAAAAGTCAGTTAACTACAATCAAGCGTGCTGACAAACTGCTGCAAATCATGGCCATCTTGGTTCCACAAATCCATGGCAACTTGATACGGGGGCACCTGAAAGTTTTATCACTTAGGTCACAGCCCTCTAAAGTCCCAGGGGATGGAGGACTTTTCAGGTCTCCTTCTCCATGGATGGAAGGAGTGGGCTGCCCTCAAAGAGAGAGGGAGAAATCTGCTTTTGACAGCTTCCAACTTGTGGCTGCAGAAAAGGCCTCCGCTGGTGCTTCTCCAACATCAAGCTCTAACATCGGAGGGGACAGTGATGTGCAGGGCCTTCCCAGGGCATTTTGCTGCCCGTGGTGGATCAGCAAACAGTTCCCTTTCACCAACCCCAAGTAAGCATATATAGTACCAAGGCCTCCCAAGTTATTTTGACACCTGAAAACCCCATACACAAATCTTCCTTTCCCTGGCAGTAAAACTGCAATGGCAAACTAAATAATAAACATTTCACTGCCCCTTTCATGACACCCAAAATCTGCTGCCTGAGGTGTACATCTCATTCTGTCCTGAAAAGTAGACCTAACAATGATAGAAGAGGCTGTGGATTCGTGGCCCCTTTCTTTCTCACAACATGCCCTGGAATGGTGGTGGTGGGGATTATGCCATTGGGAGAAATGGGAAGGAAAGGTTTTTGGAACCGCAAGAAGCAACAAAAGGCCAAATCACAAGGGGGGGGGAGTTGTCATTCCCCCCCTCCTTTCCAGCATGGCATAGGAAAAGGTGGCCTTTCTGAATTGGTTTCTCCCTCCCCTATAGGAATGCTCTGCCAACTCCCTGCATAGAAAAGGGACTTGTAGCAGATGCCCTGTTAAGCCTGAAGATCCAAAACACACTTTGAAGACACCCTGACCTTTTCATTGGATAGTAAACAATGTGAAACGAGTGAGATAGCGAAAGGGAGTCCGTTCCAAACATTTCAACTTCTATTATCCCGTCCTACGGCACCTCCATTGACTCATGCGCCTCCTTCATCCAATTCCACTGTTGCTTTCTAGCAGGCATCATTTCCAGAGAAAAAAAAAAAGATTTCCAAAAGCCTTTCCTTCCACTCTCACTCTCTCACCAGTCATGCAGAGGGGCTTGCCAAAAGGCACAAAGAGAAAGCAAACAGTAAATACTCAACAGAATCAACAGCCAGAATTCCATCTTTTAAGAAGTAGGATTTGAAATATATGGTAAACTCTAATTTAATGGATGTTTTCTGCCAACATCTTTTCCCTTTCTTTTTTTGTTCAGTTTGTTATTCCTAGACAAATACGTGCTACATCTTTTGCCCAGCATCTAATGTCTTCAAATTGAAGGAAATAAATATGAATAAATCATTAACACAGAAATAAATAAATATGAATACAGTTGCATGTGTTTAGCTCAAAGGAAGTATCTATTCTATTCAAGACCAAGAGTCCAGTATTCCTTTCACTGATGTGCATGTTAAACCCCTATTCAGGGGTTGGACTCTAAGGCTGCAGTTCGTGGCTGCTTAAGACTTATTGGCTTCAATGAAGTTTAAGCAACCTGTGTGCAGGATTGTGGCCTTAGAGGGTGCAAAATGAGGTTGAAAAGAATGTTTCTTTTAAAAAAATAGCCCAATTTTTCTCCATTTCTTAAAGTCATCACTTTCACAGAGGTGGGGGAGGAAATATATTTTCTCCAAATCTGAATAATGCATATAATTTTTTTAAAAATGAGCACAGACTTACCTAGAGAGATGTCAAAATGGCAATGCAGAGAGGAAGGACAGTCTTACCCAGCTTACCAAGCCCTAGGCTGAGGAAAACAAAAATAATGTCTAAGTCTAAGGGAAGGCTACTGCCCCCTTCCCTCCCATTTATGGGCAGCTAGGATGCTATATATAGAATCAATTTAGTTGCTCTCACAAACCAGTGATGTGTCTAATAAGGATTAAAACTATGATTTAAGTTAAATGAGCATTTACAAGAGGCCATATTTTGGAAGCTTTTCAGTACGATTGTATAATCCCTAAACGTGAAAATTAATTGTTGACATACATTTAAAGTTTTTATTATTTATTATATGCAAAAAAGGTAATAAGGAACAACTAAAGAAAAATGATTTTGTAAAAAATAAACACCCACTTAATAGCCAGCAGGTGGTTATTTTGCACAGATAATGGTTAAAAAGACCAACGAACAGTCATTAGGTTTTAAAATCTTTTTAGTGCCGACATGAGATCTTCCCTGGTGCCCTGAGCTGTAAATTGATCCTCCCCAAAGTCTCCTTAAGGGCTGCCTGGATTATAAAAAAACATTGTTGCCATATGTTAAGCCATATCATCTACGTTTAAAAAAAGCTTGTTAACATGGGAAGAAATCCATGCCAGCTCCAGCGCTGCTTCGTCCTGCCTCCTGGGTCAGCTGCCAGGCCTTCAGTATAGCTAACTTGCTTGAAGTCCCAAAGAGCGTCTGTCTGCTACACAAAACTTCCTAGGAAATATATTTAAAAAGTTGCATGCAACTCAGTTAGACTCAGAATAGATTCAATGAAATTAATGGACCCACCTTAGGCAAGTCCATTCATTTCAATAGAGTAGGACTATCGTGGGATACCATCCATAGTGCATGTAATGCACAACAACAAAAGATTGTGCAATTGGAAATGGATAAGTAAAGTAAAGAGCTATGTTGAATTAGCAAAGCTAACAGCTAACGTAAGAGAATTTAATGATGACTGTTCTTTTGAAGAACGGAAACCCTTTTCGGATTATTTAAAGAAATATTACAATATGAACACTCCATGACCAGGTTTTGAACTATGAGCGACAGAAAGAATGTGAGATTATTGTGTTATGATTATGATAAAAAAGGAATAAAGTTATGGTACAGTGAAGGCGGGATAAGAATAACATCACGGAAAATGGGTTGGGAATTCAAAAATAGAAAAGATTTTTTAAAATACATCTGTATTGGAATTTTATGTGTAATTTTTGGAAAACACTACAGAAAAGAAAAAAAGATTGTGCAGTTGAAGAAAGAAATAAAGAAAGACCCAGGAAACAGTGCCTACAATTGACATCCAATGGTGTCACTCAGCTAACTGAGAAGCTTCCATCAGTGGAAGAGAAGCAATTTCCTACTATTTCCCCAACACACACACACACACACACACACACACACACAATCTGTTCTGGAAGGTCCCTCACCTATCTGGAACAGAGTTAGATGGAGTGGAGCCTTCAGTGGTGGCGGGGGGGGGGGGGAGTGAAGGAAATGGCTTTCTTCCCTGTTCCACAGATGGAAGCCTTACTGTCAACTGAACAACAACATTAGATACAATGCTCAGATTAGCCCCACTCATTTGAAAATGTACATCTGTGAAGCACAAGCTTAAAGCTGCAGTGCTAAACTGCTATTCAGAATTGAGTCAGAGAGGTTTATTTCTGTGTAAACCTAGCTAGCTTTGGGCTGCAGACTCCCTTATTTAAGTCAATTGCAAGTCTTAAAAGTGCTTTGGCTGGACTGTGCCCAGGGATAGCTTGGCAGTGGAAAAGGGCAAAAATAAATGCACATTTAGCCTTTCACACTTTATTTCAAAGTAACAAGATACTATCATTTCAGAAGTAATACACGATGGTCCATAGACAGGTTAGAAGCAGCCATTAAGGATATAAATATCCTTTGTTTGTCGTATCTAGCATACAAGTAAACAAAATGATGCCCCCCCCTTGAAAATCAAAATGAATTCTCTATCCGATTACATCCTTGGATAGGTGTAATTTTGGGTCTGACAATGCATGGCATTTTCTGAGACTTCTCACCCTTTTAGGATTGTGATAATGTGCCTTACACTATGAACAACCACCACCAAGAGACACCAAATATGCGGGCACGCCATTTAATCGAGGCATGGAGCACATGATGCACAGCTGAGTGGTATCATCACAAGCAGCTCTGGGTGGAATCAAAGGTCATAACCCAAGCAACAATACAATGCATGCAGCAGAGCTTCTGAAGCCTGCTTACTGAAAGCTGTTTGTTTCCCTCCTAAACAAAAACAGGGGATCACTGGGAGAAATAATGACAGTGGTCCCTCAACCAAAGAAACAGCTTCTTTGGTCCCAGCCCAGAAAGTTCTGCACATCGCTGATTGCTCCTGAAAGCACAAGTGCATTACCATATATACTGTGAGCTCCCCCAACCCCCAGATGCCATGCGAGTTGGCCCAGGCAACTCCCATACCGCTTTTTCTCATGGTAGCAGCACTAGATTTAGGGTGGCATGGGTGGTTCCCCTGCACAGCACACCAAGTCAAGGAGATGCGAAACTGAGATCTATAATGGAGCAGATCCATTTTGGGGTGTCAAATGTTGGCTTCATACAGGCCGCCATACAGTGGTACCTTGGTTCTCAAACGTCTTGGTACTCAAACAACTTGGAACCCAAACACTGCAAACCCGGAAGTAAGGGTTCCAGTTTGCGAACTTTTTTCAGAAGCCGAACGTGCTCTGTTTTGAGTGTCACACTTTTGTTTTGAGTGTTACGCTGACGATTTGAGTGCCACCTTTCCGTTTTGAGTGCCGCGCCTCCATTTTGAGTGTTACACTGAGGTCTGTCTGTTTTTGCTATTTATTTTGCGTCTTTGTTTTTGCACCTCTTTTTGTTTTGTTTTTGTGACTGTGTGGAGCCCAGTTCAGCTACTGATTGATTGATTGATTGATTGATTGTGTGACTGCAGTACATTGTTTATTGCCTTCTCGTTATATAGTAAAATTCAGGATAAATTGCTGTTTTAGGGGTTGTTTTTAAAAGTCTGGAACGGATTAATCCATTTTGCATTACTTTCTATGGGAAAGTGTGTCTTGGTTTTGGAACGCTTTGGTTTTGGAATGGGCTTCCAGAACGGATTAAGTTTGAGAACCAAGGTACCACTCTATTATGAAAGATTACCAAAGGCCATCCCTGATGGCAGCACAATAAAGAGTGTTAATATCATCATAGGGACACAAGAGAAGCCTGCAGGATCATGCCAATGCCTCTCTAGTCCACATCCTTTTCTCACAGTGGCCTGTGGGAAGCCTGCAAGCGAGACCAGAGCACAAGAGTCCCCTCCTCTCCTGTGGTTTCCAGAAACTGGTATTCAGAAGCACTGCTGCCTCCAACTATGGATGCAGGACATAGCCATTGTGGCTTGCAGCCCTCCATAGCCTTGTCCTCTATGAATTTGTCTAACCTTCTTTTAAAGCCAACTAGATTGGTGACCATCACTGCCTCCTGTGGGAGCAAGTTCTCTAGTCTAACCATACACTGCGTGAAAAAGTACTCTCTTTAATCACAAATGTCATCCTGGTGAATCTGATGGCGACTGTTCAGATAAATATGAACTTTCTTGCATTAGGGGACAGAGTAAAACATCTACTGATCATCACCAACACCGTATGTAAGCAGGATCAGACTTTCCAGCTCAATCCATATATGTCACTATTGCAGCACAGAAACCATTTCTCTGCAGTCTATTTTCATGTGGAGCTGAAGTTCTATATAAAGGCATCACATGGTCAGCTAAATGATGTGATTTTAGGGGAGGAAAAGAGGGACGCAGGTGGTGCTGTGGGTTAAACCACAGAGCCTAGGACTTGCCGATCAGAAGGTTGGCGGTTCGAATCCCTGTGACGGGGTGAGCTCCCGTTGCTCGGTCCCTGCTCCTGCCCACCTAGCAGTTCGAAAGCACGTCAAAGTGCAAGTAGATAAATAGGTACCGCTTTGGCGGGAAGGTAAATGGTGTTTCTGTGCGCTGCTCTGGTTCGCCAGAAGCGGCTTAGTCATGCTGGCCACATGACCCAGAAGCTGTACGCCGGCTCCCTCGGCCAATAAAGCGAGATGAGCGCCGCAACCCCAGAGTCGGTCACGACTGGACCTAATGGTCAGGGGTCCCTTTACCTTTACCTTTACAGGCAAAAGATGAATGTTGGGTGAGAACTTAGCAAGGGAGAGAAATGATCTGATTTGGTGCACAAATGAGATCTCCCCTCTTTTCCCACATAGTCTTCATACACTATTTCCATCATGTTAGTCAGTTAAATATTCTATATATTGCCAGAAATAGAATAGGATCTGTGCCAGAAGAGCACTTTGAGACTTGAGGTAATTAAATAGCTTTCTGAATATTGGCTGTCAGTTGCCTGCTTAACTGACTATGAACCATATCTGCAAACCCACACCGGCTCTGTGGAGTGAAGAGGGAATTGGGAAAGAAAAAATAGTTTTGGTTTTGAAGAAAATCCATATGAAAATTAATACTTAAATATACATTTTAACTTAATATGTGCAGTGCAGGCACAGTGGAAGATCTGATCTGAAATCTCTGCCGCTGTGCACACACCACCTCAAGCACCCCACAGCCTTGCCCTGATGTAACCAGCAGCAATGTGCAGCATTGAGAAGTCAGGTAAGCAACAGCAGTCTGCCCACATCACCCTGCCACCCGCTACTATAATATACCCTGCCCATCTGGCTGGGTTTCCCCAGCCACCCTGGGCAGTTTCCAACAGAATATTAAAAACATGATAAAACATCAAACATTTAAAACTTCCCTTCAGATGTCTTCTAAAAGTCAGATAGTTGTTTATTTCCTTGACATCTGATGGGAGGGCATTCCACAGGGCGGGCACCGCTACCGAGAAGGCGCTCTGCCTGGTTCCCTGCAACCTCACTTCTCGCAGTGAGGGAACCATCAGAAGGCCCTCAGAGCTGGACCTCAGTGTCCGGGTTGAACAATGGGGGTGGAGACACTCCTTCAGGTATACTGAGCCCAGGCCATTTGCTACTGGTGCACAGTGTGTATTTCTAAATATATTTCCCCCTAAAGCATGCATTTCCATGCACACTTTGGTACCTTTTTATTTCTTTGAGCCAAGAACGGTACTGCAAAATTCAAAGGAGTCCAACACCCGAAGAATAATTGCATTACAACGCACACATTAGACTGGGAAGTTCAGATCAAGTCGGTTGACTTCAAAATGAGAACGGAGCACATTTAGTGCCGATGATGTTCTCTGAATCACTGATTATACATGCTCAAAGTAATTTTTCGATCAACAAGAGGGTAACTCATTGTGCAGCTTTAGCATATAGGCTGCCTGCCCTACATGATATAAGCTTTTATGGCTCGCTTTCAAGTACCGGTACATAATGTTTTCCACAACCCATAGCAATGGGTTTGCTCTAGAAAAACAAGTGCGTGCCCA